TGCAAGATCTGTTCCTTTGCGTCAATCTCTGAGATTCCAGATGAAATCACTTACACCACAAAGCTCCCTTTTGCCACCATATTAGACTCTGGGACGACCGTTACCTTAGTGAGGGACTATTAGTTCTTCCACTTGTACATCACTGAAGACCCTGTTGATGTCTTCCCAGCTAACCATGGTGTCCTACAGATGACGGGACATGGAACCTGTATTGTGTGATTCACCATTAGTCAATGTCACTTCCATATTCACCTGTCCAATTGCCTCCATGCACCAGGCGCACAGCTAAACTTACTGTCTGTCTCTTGCATGAACGCTAAAGGCTGGGATGTAAGCTTCCGTGCAAATATGACCTGTGAACTCATGTACAAAGGTACTCCCCTCAGCTCCATCCCAGCTACAGGAAAGTTGTATGCTGCAGAGTTCCACTTTATTCCATTCATGCCATCTCCTCCTGTCATCACACCTGCACCATAATTCGCCATGTTTGTGGATGTCCTACTCTCACTGGACCTTTGATATGTGCACATTGGCCATATTGGAAAGGACGCTGTCATGTGCCTATCCCGCATGGCAAATGGGGTAACTGTTCAATCCTTTGCTCCACTATCTCACTGCAATTCATGCATCCTTGCCAAGCATCCCCATCAGCCTTTCAACTCCCTCCAAAACTGAGCAGGCTGCTGCATTCCTTGATCTTATCCACTAGTGATGTGTGCAGGCCCATTCCCACTGTCATGCTGCATGGGAAACACTATTTCATAGTCTTTCTGGATGATCATACCCATGCCTTCAACTTACAACTACTTGCTTTGAAGGACCAAGCTTTGGATGCATGGCGGACTTTGTGCACGCTGTGACAACTATATTTCCGCTAGGCTCGTATGAAGCTACTATATGAATCCCAACCATACCCCATGTTGTGTGACTCACCCCTAGCCATCCCCAACGAAACCCGCCATCCCCGACACAACCCGATGGGCAGACCCGCTCATATACCCTGCGGACTCATCCTACCTATGTCCAGTCCCTGTCGCGCTTATCCCCATTAGGTGCGTAGTCATCTATTTTCTTATTATTGATAGTATAGACAGCATTATTACAAGGATTCCCACTGGCCACAGCACCTCATGTGCTTTTACATATTTACTCGGGTCTGACGATGCACTACTATTTTTGCCTACTGTATTCCGGACTTGCATGTAGCTAGTTAAATAGGACTTAGTAGGAGATTGTACTGTACCACTCTGTAGATGGGAGCATTCCCTGATACTAGGTTACCTCACTTAGTCCCTATCCCCTATACCTGCTGAATCTATCTGATTTCCTCTCCTTACGATCTGAATCTCAGTCGCTCATTATCCCTAAACATTCCTTTGCGTTCCAATCCTAAACCCGCACTTTTCCCTACTCCTCCCTTGCTTTCCCATCCTCCCCAATCCCCGAAATGTCAGACTCAGTAAACCCTACATCGGACTTCATCTCCTACCTTCAGGACTCATACTTTCCACTCTCAGTTTTATTCCTTGTGTAGTACTGACATATTCAGACTTAACTAGACAGCAGGCCCCTTTAGGGTCGAATGCTCTTGCTTGCAAGTAAAGCAGCTAGGCAGAGCCAAGACCACATATACTGGCTAAGTACTTTTACAGGTATCTAGTCAGGTTGTGATTTCCACAATGCATTGAAAGACTATGTCTGGTCTGAGGGTGAAAATTTCTTGCTCCCATAATGGTGGTGAATTCATCAATGATGCATTCACACTTAACCTTAAGGAAACAGGTGTCCAGCATCAACGCTCTGCCCCCTATGCTCATCAGCAGAATGGGAAGGCAGAGAGGGTGATGCATATGATCGAAGGTCATATGTATGCAATGCTGGACTTCACTCATTTACCTCAAGGCCTCTGAGGAGAAGCTGCCCTCACTGCATGCTATCTGTTTAACCAGACCAAGTCGCATGCACTACCATCCATTAAGACCCTGTATGAAATGCTACATGGTGTTCAGCCTACCCTCTCTCATCTGCAAGTCTTCGGTGCACGTTGTTTTGCACACACCCCTCCAAAGTTGCAAGAGAAGCTCAGTCTGTGGTTACATGAGGCTGTTTTCATGGGCTACCCTCCAGGTGTCAAAGCCTGGCGCTGCTGGGATGTCACTACTGGAGCCTTTTTCAACTCCAGGGATGTCATATTTGACTGAAGGTTTGTCCAACTGTCCATTTCCAGACAGTGATGATGAGGATAGAGGAGGAAACTGTCTCACCTTGACATTCTACTCCTGCAGCTCCACCTCCAGCACCCATGGCAGCAAACCTACCTCATTCTGACATCATTCAGTCAATCGGGTCATATCCTGGTACCTATGGAAAAAGGTCAGCTCTTCAAGGGATGTCTATTTGCTGATAAAGCACATCTTGCTCATCAGAGAGAGGTTCATCTTGTGCATGTCCTAACAGTATACCTCCTCCCTCCACAGATGTCACTCTGTCCTCTGCACTAATTGTCCCTACACCAACTCAAATGCACACTCCTCCTGATCCAGATCCTGTGGATCCTGACACAATCACTCTCAATGATGAAGAGGTCAGTTTTCCCCAAGTGATTGTGAACCTGATCATCACCGAGGTCAGCTTGTCTTTCTGTCCAGAGCAACACTCACAGGAACCCCCTAGCACAAGGCTATGATCTAAAGATTCCTCCTGTGATGTTCAACAAAGCCATGTGGTGTCCTGATTCTGATCACTAGCTGGCAGCCATATGAAAAGAGATCAATCTCATGTCCGAGATGAATGTATACAAGCTAATTGTCCTCCCACCTGGTTGTCGTGTGATTGGATGTTGTTGGATTCTCGAATTCAAGAGTGACTTAAAGGGTGGTCCTGTATTCAAAGCACATCTGGTTGTACAAGGCTTTTTGCAGATCCCAGGAGTCGATTTTGGAAAGACATTTGCTCCAGTTGCAAAATCAGCCTCTATTCACTTCTCACCACCTACTGTGCAATACACAGCTGGGAACTTGACTGTTTTGACATGAAACATGCATTCCTGTGGGATAAGTTGCAAGAAGATGTCTATATGTGACAACCTCCTGGATTCGAACATCTCAGCGATGACTGCATGTGCCTTGTCTGTCACTTGCTCTCCTCTCTCTATGGACTCAAACAAGTGGCCTATGACTGGTATGAGTTGCTCCGCAAGGTGCTTACGACACTTGGCTTTCTTCACTGTGAAGCAGTGTGGTGTTCAAACTTTCTCTAGCTTTCTCTAGCCTTGCAGAGGCACTTTTCACTATGCAGGTCCTATTGACACTTTCCTTAGATTAGGTTCGCACTTTTGCTGCTTACATAATCGCTTCACTCTTTACCTAGGACTCTACAGTCATTACCTAGTTTCCTTGATTCCAGTTCTTTGGTTGCTCCCCATTCACTTGGGTTATTTAGTAGCATCCCCTAGTTGTAGCTTTCCTAGTTGTAGCTCCCTCAGCTCACCAGATAGCTCCTGGAACATAGTTTTCTTACCTTGACTTGGAGTACCTTCTCCACTCTCTTTCTTTGGGCCTGAGCCTAGTCAGAGATCCTTTAGGGTCGAATATCCTTGCTAGCAAGAGTAGCAGCTAGGAGAGCAGGAGACTCATATATTTTGGTTTGGTGCTTTTACCTACAGCCCAGCCAAAACTTGTTCACTACAGCGGACTATGCAGTTTTCATCTTCAACCATGTCAGCAGTGAGGGGGTGCGCGTGATTTATGTCATAGCCTGGCACGTCGATGACAGTCTTGCTGAATCCGACAATCGTCCCTTCCTTGATAGAACAAAGGAGGAAATTGTGAAACATTTCAGGATTTTGGATCTCAGTCCAGTGACCAAGTATCTGGGAGTTCAGTTTTGCAGGAATCGAGCCACACATGAATTGTGGATGCACCAGGAGGACTACATCACGTACCTGCTAGAGTAGCATGGGATGGCAAGCTGCAATCCCGTCACTCTGCCAATGGACCCCAACTTTCCATTTGGATGCCCCACAGATGTTTATCCGCATGTTGATGACCTGCAGGCTGAGTATCACAAACTTGTTGGTGAGCTCTTATATCTTGCAATGTATACCTGTCCTGACATTGCTCTAATTGTCATGCGCCTTGCTCAGTACAATGTCTCCACAGAACCACATCATTATTCAGCAGCTAAACATGTCCTTCAGTATCTTGCAGGCATGATAGGGATGCACATCCATTATGGTGGTCCATCAATCAACCCCAATCTTCATGGATTCAGTGACTCTGACTGGGCATCGAGCCCCGAGGATCAGATCTCCATAACTGGCTATGTCTGGTTTTTGAATGGAGGGCCTGTCTCTCATTCCACTAAAAAGCAGACCACACACACGCTCTCAATGGAGGCAGAGTACATGGCACTGATGGCAGCAATTCAGGATGGCCTCTGGCTCCAATTGTTCTTTGGCTGCCTTTCAATACCCTTATCACTCCCTCTACGCCTCTTCACTGACAATGCAGGCACCATCGCACTATCCAAAGATGCAGCAAACCATATCCGAAGGAAACACATCGACCTTTGCTATTATTTCATACATCATCACATCAAAAACAACACCTTCCTACCTGTTTGGTTATCCACTCATAAGAACACTGCCAACATTTTCACCAAGGTTCTACCATGTCCACTATTCATTCACCATCACACGGGTCTTGCTCTCATTTCTACATTGTCTCATTGAGGGGGTGTGTTGACGTTTAAATGTCCAACTTCAACTATGTATTCTTTTCTCTTGTTTGTTTCCTCAGTCTCTATACTATACTATATAATCATGATGTGTTGTATTGTTTGTACCTCAGCAGTTCTGTCTACAACACTGAGGTACAGTTCATATTTCTCTACTTGCCATCTCTTACTTATATCGCTTCATCTCTAGACTCATCTCTTAGGTATTATTAATGATAGAGCGGTTCTGTCTACAACACTGAGACTCGTCTCTTAGTCTCTGTTTAACATGGTAGACCCATTGTAGCATTGATGGTGAAAGCCTTGGGTTTATCTGCGTGACCATTGACATAGTGCATCAAACCTTGAGCACCAATCACAGTCAATGTTCTCTCCTTGTAGGTAATCCAATTTGAGCCATCTTCAGCAAGTTTGGGGATGTTGAACAGCGAGGAGCTGGTACTGGGGAGTGCAATACCTGTGGCCATGGCAGGGCTCATAATCTGTGATTAAGAACAGGTATGAGTGGACAGTTGGGATGCTAGCTAGAATAAATAATCTCAGTCTCTAGACAGAACTCTTTGATTACAAGTCATGTACCTAGTTAGACCAAATACTAAAGACTCATAACCTATTGTATTGTGTTTGATAAACATCAAGTACTCACATCTCAGTCTCTAGACAGAACTGAGATGTTCATATGGATCAGCTTGTATCTTTATAGTATGTAGAGTAGGAATGAAAATAAAATGATCGGGACATGGAATATTTGACTGGTATGAACTGACATCAAAATGTCATTCATCCGTCACTCCTTTTATTACACTCACACTGACATCTCGGATCCTTCAGACAACGCAACTGATCACTTGGATCAGTCGGAGTCCAACAAAAGGGGCTCCTATACAATCACTCACACAAACACTGACAAATTATATTCCACCCTGATCCATTTGATACTGCTTAATGCAGTAGAAATATCTGCAGCAGTACAACCGCAATGATCCTGAACATGTAGCTATGGGCAAGAAGGGTTCCTGTACAATTCCCTGCATGAAGGGCAACAGAATATAGTCCACCCCAATTGTGTTCGACCCCTGTAACACAACAGGTATATTAGTGTCTAGTGCAACTGTACTTTTGAATGCATAGCTTTAGGCAAAGGGGGTTCCTGGACATTTCAGTACAAGGATTGATAATTTCCATTGTCTATATTACACTGATTATGGTCATTGTGAACACTACCGGTAATACCGGAGCACATATACCATGGTCCAATTTTTCGCAGTACAGTGATGCTGGTGTGACAGCTTGGTGACAGCTCATAAATTGGAGAAACAAAATGACAGAATAAAATCAGAATTAAGTGGGGCTTCTATCTGCCATCACACTGAAGCATGAATCCACGACTCTCAGACTTTCTGGAGGATTCACAACTTCACGCCACACCCTCAAGGCAAAATTCAACACACCTAGGCCTCAGGAAACAATCTGGTTCGAAGTATGCTGCTATCATCAAGAAATGTACTTGAGGCCACAAAGAATGAACTAGGCCCCCTCCTCGTCATCTTCATCACCAGAGACCTCTGCATTCTCTTGACCTGCTTTGGCCATGAGCTGTGCGAGATCCTGCTCTTCTGTCTCAGAGACAGCTTTTGGCTGAAAGGGAAATCGTGAAGGAGTCAGAATATATATGACGTTGGAGTAGATAATTGCACCGCACCTTCATCTTTACAACTAGGTTTCCACCTTGACCCTCGATCGTGCCCAGAATCGACTCGATCGCTCGTTCCAAACGATCAACAGCAGCGTACTACAAATTCTCTCAGACAGCTTTGTAATCGAGAACGATAAAGGCAGACCTTGTCTGTTGCGTTTGTGCTGAGAACGTAAAGTGGAGGGGCTACAAGCTTGGCTTTAATCGGCACAGTTTCGTTGCTTTGCGCTTCACCGGCCCTCAGAGCCTTTTTGATGGCGTCGATGCCGGCAGGAGTGTAGCATGTGAGCTCGATATCAGCGCGCAGCTTGATAGGCTGGGGTGTCAACCGTCGTGCAATGGTGCCCATTAGGATAGATATGGCTGCTGATGAGACAGGATTTGGAATGGAGGAAAATACAGTTTCTTGCTCGCTAGTCTCGTTAGCCCCCGCAGGAGGTAAAAAAAAGGGTACAATGACGCACGTCAAAGCAAGCTTAAACGCATCATATGTGTGGCCATATTTATGACCAAGTGGCCATGCTACTTGCTCATACAGTTTTTCCAACCTTTCTTCCTCGTTCGACCCGTCGTGCGGCACAGCGGCCTCCTCAGCAGCCATGGCAGCCGCAGCCTCCTCAGGATTGTCCTTCTTCGCCGCGCGCCTAGACTTCTTCGTCTCCTTCTCCACCGCCTCGTCCTCTGGGGAAATAGCAGCGTCTGCATCCATCGATGGTAGCTTCGACGCAACATGCCGCATGATCGATGCGACAGCTTTGACTTCATGTACCGTTCCTCACACTTGATGATGTCCTCGGGGGAGACACGACGTTTTGATAGATCAATGTAACCTGTGCGCATGGATTATACTAAGCGAGTTGAGGATAGCTAGGCTGGAAGTTCGACTTACCTTTTTCCCTGTCCACACGAAGTACCACTACGACTTCATTACGGCCAACACGGATGAGCTTTTGTATTGATCGGATACGTCTACGGGAAAGCTCTGAAAGGAGAATCATTCCCTCGATGTTGTCGTATTCGAGCTTGTGTTATATGGATGGATCAGCATAACAATGAATGGGGTACGGGTGAATGGTGCGAACCAGTTTAACATATGCGCCCATTTCCGCGATCTGGCGGACTTGGACCATAACGAGCTCGTCGACTTCTGGATATCTCTGTTCATAATACCGCATGGCAAGAGTGGGCAGTCGAGGAAACTTTCAAGACGCGCAACTAAGTATGCAGCTGAGGATGCTCAGCCGATAAGTCTGAGATTATCGTGCTTTCCAAAGCGGTGACCTAAAATTACCAAAAACGTACTTGTGACTCGGTACGCACTCAGATGTAACTACATCACAAATTAGAGCTATAGCTACAAGTACAAGTACTGCACTATCATACCATCAAGTAATGGCTTAAGGATGAGAATAAGATGAGCCATCACAATAGTTAGCAAAAGACACTCACTGTATTTTGGACCTCCACCGCCCTCGGGGACTGTCCATGTGATATCCTGTGTGGGGACCTTAATATCACATAACTTGCAGTGGATACAGTTCTGCAATGACCAACGTAAGACATAGTACAGGGTTCAAAAATGAGATGCACCTGAGAGTTTATTACTAGTTTATGTCCATTCCACCCATCTACTGCAGTCTCATCTTCGACATATTCGTAAACGCCAGCAGGGCAAGCCCGCTGCAACAACCCAGCATACTCGCTCACGTTGCGCTGCACGTGCAACTTTCGAAGGGCGTTGTCTTCACCGCCGTCTTTGCGCACACGTAGATGCACAGGCTGGTCTTCTGCATGGTTCGTGCCGGTTAAAGTCAACGAAGTTAGCAAATCTGTCGACAACGGGGGCTGCGGGGGAGGATAGTTGATAGGATGGAATCGGTACGCGGGTTGAGTGTGCTGTGCATCCGTCAATCTTGCTCGATTGCGGAAAGTCCAAGGCGTGCGTCCTTTAAGAAGGAGAGAATCGACGCCAGAGTACATGATACCTCCCCAGATACCCAAGGGAGTGTGGAAGCTTTCACGCAAGTTACGAACCTCGTTGAGGTCTGACCAAACCCAACTATTCTTCAGTGCGGTTTCGTACTGTGACATGTCTGCGGGTCCACTGCTAGAGTCCTGAGATAGAACTGCTACTGCTGCTTCGGCAGCCAACATACCGCTCTTCATCGCATTATGGGTGCCTTTAATTTTTGCGATATTGACGAAACCAGCCGAGCAACCAACCAGGGCACCACCAGGGAAGTGAAGCTGAGGCACGGATTGAAGGCCGCCTTCGTTGAGCGAACGTGCACCATATGCTATCCTTGTGGAGTTCCCAGACAGAAGCTGCGCGAAATATGGATGGTGTTTCATGCGCTTGAATGGGATATCAGAGGGACGTGTGCAAAATTAAAAAGAACCCACCTGAAATTCTTTATAAGGACTCAAATATGGGTTGGCATAGTCGAGTCCAATTACAAGGCCCAAGCTGACGAGCCCATCAGCCATGTGGTAAACCCAACCACCGCCGTATGTCCTGAAGTCAAGGGGCCAGCCCATGGTATGAACGACTTCACCAGGTCGATATTGGGTCGGATCCACGCGCCAAACTTCTTTGAGGCCAATACCATATGTTTGTGGATCGGAATTTTGGCGAAGATCGAAATTTTGAATGAGTTCCTTGGCGATGGAGCCGTGTGCGCCCTCCGCGATAAGGGTAACTTTGGCACGAAACTCCATTCCAGGCTCAAAAGATTCTTTCATGCATCCTATTTTGTCTAGACCAACTTCATTCGTCCTGACACCAGCAACGCTTCCATCATCTGCGTAAACCACGCCTGCGCCGGCGAACCCAGGGTAAACCTCGACACCCATTTCCTCCGCGATGTTCCCGAGCCACGCAGCGAAACGAGAGAGCGAGACGATGTAATTGCCTTGGTTTGACATTTGAGGGGGATGGGGTATAGGTATCGAGAGCGACTTTGTGAGAAACCGCATGTGAGAGGATGTTGCTGACTGCGTGAGTGGGTGGTCATCGCGGAGGGCCCAATCTGGCAGGAGCTCGTCGAGTGCTCGAGGCTCGATGACAGCTCCGGAGAGAATATGGGAGCCTGGGACGAGTTACATTTACACGGAAAATGTTCAGTGTTAGGAGTACGCACCTACTTCGGCACCCTTTTCCAGTACAACGACCCTTAATTCTTTTCCTAATTTCTGTTCCAACTGCTTTAGTCGAATCGCGGTGCTAAGGCCAGCAGGGCCAGCTCCGACGATGCAGACGTCCACATCCTCCGAGACACGCTCAACAGTGGATGCATCAAATAATTGCCTGTTGATACGGGAGGATGAATGGAGCAAGCGATTGAAATTAAGTGTCCTTGGACGAAGGACTGTGCAGGCCAGCATTTGAATAGCTCCTGCAAATTGAGGTCCTGAGGTGACTGTGATGGCAACAATTTACGTAAAGTCTTCGATCTCGAAAAGGCAAATCTGGGTTGGTAGCCGCAGCTGACAGCGGTGGCGTCACACCTTCTAAGTAAAACCATAGTTGGACTTCCAACTACTATTTGCAAGCTAATCCTTTATACTGGCTAGGCACACTCTGCAAGAATGACCGGCTTTTCTGCTCTACCCTTCGCTGAAGATTCCCTCAATGATGAATCCCGGTGGATAGGAAGAGCCAGGATTTTGGGACCCCCGTTGACACGCCTCCCCACTCTTACTGTCGGGCTTTTGGGAGTGCAGGTCTTGTGGTCAGTTGAGATGTCATATGGTGAATGGTTAGCCTATATCCTCGCTAGATGATTATTCAATGCTACTGCACATTGCAAGCTTCCCCCTACTTGTTGTCCCTCGGTCTGTCAAAACCACTAATGGCAGTAGTCTTCCTTGCCGGCCCCCTCTCTGGCCTCATTGTCCAGCCCTTGATAGGTACCTCTCCTGCACTTCCTATTTTTCAGACTCAACGTTTCTTTAGGCGTGCTAGCAGATAATTCAAAGTCGCGCTTTGGCAGACGGCGACCTTTAATTGGTATTGGTGCCGCATTGTGTTGTGTCGCGACCCTTCTGTTCGGATACACCCGTTCATTTGCTGCTTTGTTTACAACGCCAGGGTCGTCCTCAGTGCGTGCACTCTTCAACACAACTGATAGACCATACTGAATTTGTCAGCATGATTCACTTAGCATATGGCTTGCTATCTTATCGATATATTGCATAGATTTTTCCATTAACGCAGGTTTGTCCTCGCAAACTCTGTGTATTGCACCATGAAACCAAAATGTATTCGCAGTGCAGGCTCTAGATCGTGCTCTTTTGGTTGACACCCTACCCCCATCAGACCAGCCTAGTGGTAATGCATGGGCCGCTCGAATGCTGGCCATTGGCAGCGTACTCGGATTCTTCGTGTGAGCTTGAATTATGCAAATTCGTGGCCTTTGGCACTCATATTTTATCACAGGGGAGAAATAGATCTTCCTGGATGGTTACCTTTCCTTGGCCGTACTCAACTAGAAGATTTAGCAGTCATCGCGTCTCTGTTACTCATATTCACTCATTTGTTGACTTCCATTTGCGTCAAGGAGAGGATACTTGTTGCAACCGAGTGCGTCATCTCAATATTTACTTGGGGTTTGTCTCACTGGGCCATAGCTCCCGCGACAAGGGTCTGAAGAAAGAAATATACGATATATGGAATACTCTAACAAGATTACCTCGAGTAATAAGACAGATCGTACGCAGCATATATTCTCACCACATCATGTCTATTGACCTATCTTACAGTGTTATATCCAATTTTTGTGCGTTTGTGCTGAATAACGCTCTATTTATCTGACGGCGATAGCCTGGTAGTGCATGGCTAGCATGGTTCCCTGTTTTATTCTACACCACTGTGTATATCGGCGAACTGCACAAACGGGTTTCCCCTCCCCCAGCAGACGATATTTCAGCTAACATATTAGAAGAGGAGGCTACACGTCTTGGCGCGCGTGCACTATTCTACAGCGCGCTGGTGTCCCTCGCAGCAAACATCATTATGCCTTTCTTCGTCGTCCGTGCTAAAGAAGAAGTCGCTATATTGACTCCTCTTCAACTGAAGAAGCCGTGGTTGGAACGTGTTCAGGTTCACCTGGCTACACTCTGGGCATTCTCTCTCTTCATATTCGCATTCTGTATGGCTGCCACGTTGTAAGTCTCCACACGTTCAAGCAAGTGATGGCTTTGATGACAATTTGACCTGTGAAGCGTTGTATCAAGCGTTGGCGGTGCTACTTTCATCATGTCAGTGACCGGATTTTGTTGGGCCATAGCACAGTGGGCCCCATTCACGTTGGTACGTTATCACCCAAACCCTGAATCTCACCCTACTATTATCTGATTCTATACCATTCTCAGCTCGCGGAGGCAATATTGTCTCATCCCGCAACCGACGAAGAGACTGCTTCGATATATCTCGAGGACACGCGCTCAAATCTAAGATCCAGGACGGACAATGATGGGCAAGATGCCGATGAAACTCAGCATCTCGTCGATTCTGACCTGGAAGACCCGACATACTCGAGACCTGTGTCGCCGGAACAGGAGGATGGCGGCTATCCGAGAATCATGATAAATCACGAAGCACGAGTCAGCCAGATGGATATAAATGTCTTATCGACTCAAATGTCTCAAGATACATCGCCTCATAGGCCGAAAAAGAATCTCAATGGCTTAAGCTCACGGGCTGGTGCCATTCTCGTCAGTGCTTCAGATTCTTGTCCCTGTCAGATCTAATCAACGTCACCAGGGCATTCATAATATGTTCATCGTCGTACCCCAATTTCTCGTCACTGGCTTGTCGTCGATCATCTTCGCAATATTTGATCCCCAGAAATCTGTCCTACACGGTCATCATCCGGGAAATGCTATACCTGTCAATGGTACGATCGCTACGTCAGGAGATGTCATGCGACAAATTTTAGATCCAGACGAAGATTCCTCAGTAAAGACAGGTCCCAATTCAATCGCAATAATCTTTCGGTGGGTACCAATGGCGTCATGCACGCTGGTGAAGCAGCTGACCAGAACTAAATCAGGTTGGGAGGCGTGGCCGCGGCCGTAGCTTTTGTCCTGTGCTGGCGCCTCGCTAGGGAATTGAAACGCACATGAACCTGATTGCTTTCCTGGTCACCAGGGTACTTCCAATGTTGAACTACAGTTATACATATATGCTTTAATGCTTTCCGGAAGAATGCCACAGCCTCAAAAAACAGTTCCGTCGCTCTCTATTTCGATGGGTGGTCCGCCGGTCAAGGGCCGGAGCCGCTTGGCAATTTCTCTCCCTCCTTTCCACGTTGCGCTTTCCAGTACTTGGGCAAGGGTTAGATCACAAGAGTTCACACCAGCTTGACGTCGGATGCCGTTGGCGATGCGATCTCTGTCCAGAACTTCAGTATAATCTTGGAACGGTTCCACTGATGACTCACAGTTCAATCACAGTCATTGCCCGCCATTCAACCACAGCACCATGTGATGGTGGAAGACATGGAACACCGCTAGCACTATTTACGAGCGCCTGAAGGCCGGGTTTGAGGGTAAGAACACCAAAGTCGATCAGCAAACCTCCTAGATCAAACGTCAATGGCAGTCGTCACACTAAGATACATCATATGCACCGTTTCTATACTCTGGAAGACCAGTCATGTCCTCGATGCCGTCAAATTTCCACTTGAGAATCTTCTCCATGGGCTCAATCAGGCTATATGTGATCCATCCCGTTAGTTTGTGGAACGGCACGAAGTCGTGTCCCTCAGCTTGTCCAACCGTGGCGAGCACAGAACATGGCCACACATCTCCGAGCTGCACTCCACCGATGGAATACCTTGCAGGCCAAATCGGAGCTAAACCCTCAAGCAAAACTCCCCACAGTGATGAGACATGGACACGCAGGGACGAACCATCGAGCTTCGATTCGGATTCCAGGAAGTCTGCGAACATCAGAAGTGATAAACCGTCTGATAAAGGAGTGAACAATGAGTAATACCAATGATGTTTCCGGGTCTAGCATCAGAACCGAAAAAGCGAGGGTTAGACTCCAACGCAGTCTTGAGATTGACCAAGAGCGAAGTTCGGCCAGATAGACCAACCATCGGATTGGCATCGCTGACTTGCATAGCGGTGGCAATTCTCGATTCATTGATCTGAGACAGTCCCTGCGCTTTAGGTAGGAAAATTCAGACGAGAACGCCAGACACAGAAGATATCCCCCTTACCATCAACGCGATGAGGCTGAGCTGCAGGAGATCCCGAGAAAAGACCTTGGTCAAACATATGTACAGTTGCAACCGCGAGCCCTTCCGAACGACTGTAGCTTTCCCCATCTGACTCGTTATATGTCCATTGGTTACCAGCCCCAGCATCCAGTAGGACAGAAACAAGGAATAAATCAATCAACCTTTTGCATTTTTCTTTCTCGCTGACTGGTGACTCTCGTTCTTCATCCCATTTCGCCATCAAAGGCGCTATGCGCGATTTCCCTGCATCTAGATGCCTCCACCTCCCATGCGGTGGGATCTATTTGTGCAATTCTAACACTGGCTGTCCGATCAGAAATATAAATACTCACAGACGCAAAGTCAACACCGCCATCAGCCGCGGGAAAGTCTCTCTGGAACATGTGTCAGCTATAAGTAACGACTTGGAGTCGACTCGAGGCGGAACCTTCATGATTTCGAGGCAGTAATTCACAACGGATAATTCATGATCCGGGCTATAATCAAAATACTCCAGCTTTCCCTGTTGCGCCATGGCATGTACATTTGAGCATCGTTCTCTAATAGCGGGAAGGGTGCGAAGGTATGCTGCCTGCAAAGATGGAGCAGAGAATGCGGTTAGGTTCATGGTTTGGATTAACCGTATCTAACACTTATCGGAATCATCCAAGATAAGTCGAGTACTATTGCCATCAAAAGCCATAGAGAAGCTAGCATACATAACATGCCATAACACCGCCAGCCACATCCTAATGATTCCCTTTGCAAAAATTTAGCTAGGATCTGAAACCACTCAAACCCTAGTTCGTGTATGATTCAATCAAGAAGGAACGACAGGCTTCCTTCTATTGACCTTCTATTGACCTTCTATACGTGTAAGTATAGTCTTTCTAGGGGAAACTACTATATCAGTGATCGACCCCTTTGCCTTTGCAAACGCCTTATAGGTAGAGACTCGTGACGACATTCAATCAACAGCCAAAAAGTAAAGGCGTAACTCCGTCAGATCGCACGCCGATTCAGGTTCCCGCGAAGCTGGTACTCCACACTGCTCTACGAGGCTATACTCTTCTGGGTCTCCAGGTGGGACTATGAATGCCTGCAAACGTGGTAGGTATTATTCGGGAAGTGAAAGAAGACATCTCAATTTGAGTATCAATGACTACATAGCCGGCTGGCCCTCAGGCCTCAGTAACTGGAAGACTAGTGCTAAGTATAAGTACAAGTATGAACAATGCCCTTGACCTAAGAGTTTGGATGTGCCTAATGCTTAACTCAATCAAAAATAATGGTAGTAGTTACGAACATCAATCCAAGATCGGACTGCGAGGTACAAAGTGATTGGACAGAAAACTGTGATCGGCATGGCGGGGTGAAGACCCTTTTGGTAGCTGTGACAACACACAGCAGGTCCGATCTTTTATGCGCTTGGTCTAGCACAATGGAAACACATTGGGTTTCCGTTTCGCACGACGATGGTTTGGGCTCTGCCCATGCTGGTGTGGGACAAAATCACAGTCAGTCGTTAGATCTTTACATATTACGGTGCAACAAACTATTGAACACATGTGCTGGAGCAAATTGGACAGCCTCGTGGATGTGCAGCACTGTATCGACATTGAGAGGATTGACAATCCACCTTTGAGTTGTTGTCAGTAACTTCAAAGTGCAAATGCAGTATCACCCCATTGGACTAACCTTCGCGTCTCCGATGGGCTCATCGTGACCGCAACCGTGTTTGGCACAATGAACCTGACGGTAACACATGTTAACTGTAACGCAAGTCAGTTCCGCCAGCCTGAGAAGAAAGCGTCTGAATCGCCCTCACATGAGAGATTTATAGTGGAAGAGTGGGATGTTAAGCTGAAGACACTCTGTTCGCAACCCTTTAAATACTGCCACTGCATGTCTCCCATCATGCACATGGAGTACGAGACCACTAGGAAAAAATTATTCTCGTGGGGCTAAACCGACAACTGCGGGGATGTCAAAGTCAATGCGGGGTACGGATTGGGGAATTAAACTTCAGCACACCAAGCACCTTGCATCAAGAAGCACGTCAAAGGAGAGCACATGATGCGAATCTTATCTTGAGCAGCATGGCTGACCCACATCTGAGATTGAACTGACACGCAATGAGGATCGCAGGTCCAAGGGAAAAATCGAGATCTTGATTCAGAGTACTTGGGCGTTAAGCTAGTAGCAGTGAAAGGTAACCGTCATAGGTTTGAATGTTTCTGCGAAGAGCTCTCCAGCTGTCAAATATAGCACCGTGGAAATGCCGGTAGTCGTGCGCCATCGTGGTCATCCTAAATTGTGTTAAGTGTCTGTCCATGATGCAAACTTTTTACGTATGCGAGCTCACCGCGCCTGATTTGAAGCAGCGTACAAGCAAATTAATTGGTACCGGAGGACGAGAGGACTCCTGATCGCTTCCTCACAGCAAAACACCGCACGCCGTAATGGGATTTAAAAGCATTGCGCTCCCATTCAGGCATGTTCTGTCAAGCGACCTGCAGTCCGAAATGCACGTTACGGACGATGATATCATGCCAGACGGAAACGTAGCAGCATCCATAAAGCAAAGCATGGTCAATTAGAAAATGAAAAATCGCGAGCTTTGGCCGGAGTGCATCTTGGGGGCAGAAAAGATCAAAGGTAATATCGAAGTACTTCAAGCCGCCGCAAAACGTACTTCCATGAAACTTTCTTTCGGCAAACCATCTCGTATTTATTGAAAAGTGATTCTGCGCCTTTCACCTTCCCTATGTTTCCAGAAGGCATGGTGTCGCCAATCACCTTCAATTCTCCTGGGAGATATGTACCTCCCATTGTGGTTTGGCTCTAACGAACGGTCCAAACACCAAAGTTCAGTGATTCCTACATGAACCAGATAGTCCGCCACATCCAGATAATACTGCCCGACAGTTTGTGGTCCGTGACTGTCATCAGACAAAGCGAATCGACCATTTTTCTCCTGAATAAGCTAGGCACGGTAAGAAAGTGACAATTGATACAGCATGGCATTTTTACTGACCGCTACCACATCTTTCCCAGGGTACGGCGAATTCCACCCCTCCTTCTTGAACGCGGCAGCATTAATTTCAAACAGTGCACCGTACCGCGTAGCTTCCTCGATGTTCCTGATTAGCTTGCCCCAGGCGATGGGGTACTGCTTAAGATCGAGGGAAGGGGTGTAGAGTCTGCACAAATCGAGATGGCCAATGATCTCTGGCCGAAACTGCCGTATCAATCGATGCTGTGCATCGAAATATGTAGACAGAAAGCGTTCCATTCGATCGTTTCCGAGAATACACACGCCCTCTTCACTCGAAATTTTTGCCAAAGCCTTTTCGTATGTGACACGATCAAAGTCGATGGGGATAGTGCTGACATGATGGACGGATCCAACGATATAATCGATGCGCCTCTGGTAATCCTTTATGAGCTTTTGGAGATGATTGAGGTCATCATCGGTAATGTACTCTGTCTCGAGTCCAACCAATAAGGTGATCTGAGGGGCGTAAACCTCCTTCAGTCGATGAGCTTCGTTAAGAAAACTCAGGAACTGCTTTGACAGGTCATCAAGGGATAATCCCCTCTGACAGATAGTTTAGATGTAAAGCCTGGTTTGAGGAGGAGAGACTACCTCCTCTGGATACAGATCTTCTAGCCTGTAGCGGGGTACATGTTCCGTCAAACCATACACCTCGAAACGTTGTTTGATGGCTTCCAATACAACTTCTTCTAAGGATCCGAGGGCATGCCTACAGAACTGTCCGGAGTGAGAGTGATGACTGTGTGGCATAGCTATTTAATATTTAGCACTGAGATATGCACGCTGAAAGCAAGAGATTCAGACTGCATCTGTGCATCATTCGTATGTCTTACATAATACACGTTTAAAAGGTAATGCAGAACCCATCGCGGGAGGCATCACGAATCACCACGACCCCGCGTGCGTTTGACATTGATCTGATAGTTCGCCCGCATGCTACCCCAGATGTTAGATGACGTGTTGAATCCATGCTTGACAAGCTCAGAAATGGGGCATGTAATGAATAATCTACGCAACGTAAGTGCCGGCGTACTTGCCGCAACGCTCGCTGTCTTGAGGAGTACTTCTTCCATTGCCAAGGCCATTGAGGCGCAACAAGACCGCAAGTGTTGTCCTTTTAGAAATTGTCCTACCTATGTTAACGACTTGATAGGCAGTTTTCTCTCCGTCATGTAACGTGAAACACTTGCAACACGGGCTTCTCATGGTAAGTAGCGTTACCTGAGTAACCCTTACCCACCTCAGATCTGGATAAGAGCCTTCGTGAGTCATGTCATCATCCATCAGTCGGACACGACGGAGATGGAGTGTTCGGAACTTCCGTAGCCTGACTGACGCATACCACCCTGGCATTGCCAGTGCTATGCATGTAATGCACCACAACTCAACCGAGAATAATCGTGGAATTTCGGACTCAGTAATGAACGAAGTATATTTAAATTTATAAGAGAACTTGAACAAGCACCCTAATCAAGTCTCAGTAAATTAAAGATTGAAAGTATGAGGATATCCGGAACCCGTACATACTTACCTGCTTTGTACTCACATGAGCTGTTTACATGGTTCCCATCATGATGGGTTTACGTCGAGAGAAACATGGTTACCGGCATCAAGTCTCTATGGCCGCATCAATTAGCTCGCGGCAGCGCTGCAGGCGATGAAATCATGTAAGCCATGTCTGGTGTGGATGTAAGTACTACTTCGAAAATTACGTACCGTAAATGTTTCGCTTTCCCAAACCTGCATAATACGGGGAGCTTTCGGAACATCTGAGAATGCACCGTACCATACGGTGTTCATTAATATTCGACTGATATATATGTGGTACTGTCACCTTCGGATGTTGTGCTAGATTTCAACGGGATTTTTCAGGACCGCGAATAGTTGACTAGCGGTCATTAGGGAGCTCCTTATGCGATTGGATTTAGAGTAGGAGAATCTCTGTGTACCATAGGCACTGTTCGTCTCCAATTGTGACAATTCACTAAGCACCGACAACTGTTCTTCAGGTAACAGAGCTGAGGCGCATCTGCTATCAGCTTTTCGTAGAGCATGCGTTCAATTCTCCGAACGCAGCGTCAAGTATATTGCTTGCCCTGTCGACTTGAAGGACACATCATAGAAGTATGAATAGACATTGTTTTCAAACGAATGCGAATGACGATATTGATTAGATCTACCTAATCAACATTAATCAATAGTCCTCACAGCAGGAGAATCTCTTGTCCCTGGCCTCGGCATAGGGCTTGACCTCCTGGACCCCAATGGAGTGCCAACAATGCTTCCCCGCCCGCGACCAGACGCGGTCCGTGAAAGCGCAGCTAAAGCAGGCGGCGGATTGGGCGGTTGATTCCACGGCATTTTGTTCGCAATTCGTCCTGTCCATGTCTTCCCTCTTTCATCCCTCTCTCTTTCATCCCGCCTCCTTTCAAATGCAGCTCGATATCTCTCATAGCTCTCCCTGAAGCCCCGGTCAACGCGTGAAGAAAAAATGAGTTCGCCGCGTGGACTGTTTGCGGGTGGTATAGGAGCCATAGGAGCTGGTGCATTAGATGGGCGCGGTGTCGGGGACGGTGCTCGCGACTGGGTAGGTCGATGGAAAACGAAAGGAAAGGGGCTGATGGAGAATGCTGAGCGAAGGGGAGGACGTCGGACATTCAGGTACATGTTGAAATTTCGAAGGGCTTTATTCGCATGAGGAACATATCTGCGGCACCGTTGCTAAATCTCTGAGCGGTGAATACATTGTATGAAGGCTGACCTATTTGCATATGCAATTTTCTCAGCATACATGCCGCTTGCAAAGAAGAGAAGGAGAGCAGTTACAAGTACGAAGAGGAGCCCTGATGCAAAGTATGGGTGGGGCTTTAAGTTCCCAGCACCCCCGTACACATCTGGAAGTACTTTGCGGAGGAGGTTCGTGTACGGTATGTCTAGAAAGGACGTCTGAAGAAGGACTTCGGAGAGAAGGAATGCAATAGCTATCAGAAGATGGAATAGAAACACTAGGAATAGACGTCAGCGTCTTCAGCAACATAGATATCGTGAAAACATACACTGATACCTAGACTTTCTGCGTTGAAGCTGGGCGGCGTTGGTTTTGAGGCGCTCTTCAAAAAGTAGTAGATCACGGTAAGTTGCAGTGTCATTGGATGGATGAAAGGATGCTCTGGACTGTTGGCGCTGGTTTCTTGAAGTTGGTGCCATTCAATATTCAATAGGTTGCCTCTGAGTGGTGACACTGACAAATGCACCAACTCAAAGGGATTACAACTGCACGTGACAACTAAATGGAGACGCGACTTGCATGTCGGAAGCCGACCGCATGCCGACCGATTCCGACTTTACATCGTGTTTTCGGTATCGCGAAGCGAGGTAGAACGAGGTGGGTTTTTATTCCACCTTCACTAGTGGTGCACCTTCCCTCCGCCCGTAACTGAATAGCCAACGTTCTGTCATTGCTGGTGAAATCCAAGGTTGACATGACGCTAACTACATTTCTTTCTGTCTCTCTACTCGCGCTGGTCGTTTCGAGCCTTCCAATTTTGCCAGACTCCGAGCTGTAAGTCCATTTATTTACTCCGTGGAGCACCTGTGAGTGACTGTCGTAGGATGTCAGCAGAAATGCAAGATTCTGCGCAGGTAGTTTTTCGTTTGCATTCGTCACATCCAGAGTGAGTCACGTTGGCATCTATTTACCGAACACTTTTCTGATACGGGCTGCTGTAGTGACTTCCATCGCGACGCTCTCTTGAGCATCGGGCCCACGTCCGCTGGTGCAGATAATGACTACCTTTCATTTGATGCAGTACACGGGCCGACAATCGTAGAAAGTCTAGGGCCTTTTGGCCAACGGATCAAGACTGTGATCAGCTCAGGAGATGAAGTGCCAACCGCGCACAACCTCCCAGACCTCGTCACTGAATATGGGAAAGCAGATTTCTTGACTTCTGCTTTTACCCTCTTCCTCATCTTCTCATGCGCTATTACGCTGCTTACACTGGCCTGTATGGGCCTAAGATTGTATGCCATCAAACACTTACATACCCAAATTCTTTGGTCTCACAAGGCTTGGCAAAGTTTGCCCCATGTTGAGAAGCGTGCGGTGTTATCCTCCTGCAGGAGAAATTCAAACACTGGAACAGCTATAGCGGTGACGCAGAGCGTACTGAATGAGAAATCCGAGGAACCCCCGTATTTCAGTGCTCGCGGGTCTGCTCTACTGTCCCATGTCTCCGTCACCACCTCCGATGACTTAGAAGAAAATCCAGAGGACGAGAAGTTCCACGATGCTTTAGACATTCCACCGTCTTTCGGTGTGCAAGACCTTTCGTCATCTGATTCACCTTCGCGGGATCTTCCTTTACCACCTATCACGACGGCACTTGACCCTACCCCAGATGATCGATCCACTCCTCCGCAAGTATCTGTACACCCAACAATAGATCCTGAAGCTCCTGAACCACCTGCGCGTCCTTCCTGGTCTGTGCGGGTCACCAGTTCTATTCCGGCACCTCCTTTGTCGCCGCTTATCCATCCTCGCAGTCGCGCATACCGTGCTGTGCCTGAGTTTGACATTGCTCTGGCGATGCAGCTCAGGCCAGGCCGCGGCGTTGGCGCTGATCCAGCGTGGATGGTGCGCTTCTTAATGGCTATTTTTGGATGGTTTGCTGTTGCGCTTACAGGGAACCAATAACTCTAGTGCAAGTTTGAATTCTATTTGTATGCCCGCCGACCCTGACCTGCCACGAGGTTCAGATTTATGACTGCCCTTACAGGGCGTAGGGGTGCTGTGCTCCCTGACTTCCGTATATTTGTAAAGGAATCTGTTACATGGGAGGAACATTGCATCGCATCAACAATATCCCGAAAAATATTCGTCCCTATGCCATCAATTGTCTTACAATTTTGATACCTTCCGTGACACCCTATGACACCGTAGTTCGTTCCATAGCAAAATGGTTCAAAGTTTATCCCCTGATCAACTTTCTCGACCATGTCTTTCCAACCGCATTTTAACCGAACTCGACATGCAACTTGTTACTCGAGTATATACGTAATTGCGATCTGGCATGTAGGTTTAGCAATTTCAAATGAATTTCCTTCTTCTCCGAGTCCCTAATGATATATGAGAGCAGGAATGAGATGATGACACGCGCCCATCATACGTGCTACTTGCGTGCTTACACCCAACTTGGGCCATGGCATCTATACTTGAATTCCCGGAATCGCCAAAGAATCAAGATTCAGAGTGAACACGCGGTATGCCATGGCAATCTGCGAGTCTTGGCACAGGCCACATTTACTTGCGTTGAATGTTCACGTTAGAAGCTTGAGAACTGTCGGACAGACCATTCTGACAGGATAAGGACCGTCGTTCCTTCTATAAGTATGTACTATCCAGTGCCGCCCTCATTGTTTGAAGCGACTCCCATGCGTTGTCAATGTCACATGATGCCATGTTTGTTTGCAATGGTGAGCCCTAAATATTACTAATATCAATACTCAATAGTAAACTACTTTAGCGCTTAAAGGCTGTACATAATTTCTCTGCAAGTTGCTTGATTGGACTCAGCAGCTCCCCTCCAGGACCTTACTGTCATTGAACACCTTCAGAAGTAATACGTCAGCCCAATTCCATTCAGCCTTGATTCAAGCACCACCGGCAACACGTTACACACGGGGAAGGCGCGTGGCGTTGAAACAAATCTATGGCTCATGATCGAGACGCCCTCGTAAGCCTGCTTGATTCCTCATGAGATACTGATATACAACTGGCAAGGCAGTGGGCGAGTGGTTATGACGAGACAGTAGAAGTTAATCAACGTGCATTGATCGACAAGGTGTTGGCACGATATTCGGGCGAATTCACAGGTGCACTATACCTGCTGGTTTCTTTGTTTGATCACGCAGCCCTGACGAGCCTGCAGTGTTCCGTGAACTTCTTCAGAACTCAGATGATGCACAGTCTTCCGCGGTTGAGATACATTTTGAGACAGAGGAGTATCTGCGACGAAAGAACGGCAAGGATGTGGTGCAACCAGAGGACGGTGTGGGTTTCCCAGACCTCAAAACTACTCCAGTCTGTGCCATATCAATGTTGCTGCAACTTCCGTGTTTGTTAATCGATCATTGTAGGTTTCTCAGTGGACCTTTCGGAATAACGGAATTGTGTTTCGCGACGAGGATTGGAATCGGCTTAGGAAAATTGGTGTGTAGCGCACCTGAAACTTGATTGATACAAATACTATACTCATTTTGGATAGCTGAGGGCAATCCAGACGAGGAGAAGATTGGAGCTTTCGGTGTCGGTATGCTCCTCCACACCATTGATTTAATTCATTTCCTACCGTCCTCGCAGGCTTTTATAGTCTTTTCTCTGTGACTGAGGAACCATTTGTTATTTCAGGCGGTAAGAATGCTTTCGGGTATTGTTTTATCTTTCTGACAGAATGAAGGTCACGGAATGCAATTCTACTGGAAGGAAAAAACTGGAGATCAAGTATGCATGTCGATTGATACTTGATATTAGCTAACCTCTTGAAGCTCCTTGTGCGGCGCGGTGATCTGCCATCTAAAGATGTTCTCCAGTCTAATCCGTGGACAACTTTTGAGATGACGCTCCGTGAACAGGGACCTGTTCCACAGCCTTTTGATCTAACGCGATTCCTTGCAAGCAGCATCACATTCATGGTCCACCTTCGTTCAGTCAGCGTCTTCCTTGACTCTCATCGCCTGGCCCATCTCACCAAGTCTCCGGGTGTTCCAAAGGAGCTTGGATTACCCAAAGTGCTGAAAAAGTCTAGCGGTTCAGGTTTGATGAGCGTGAAGAGCGTGCAGTCTGCTGGCGAGCACTTCCCCTTGCTACTGGTCGTCTGTCTGGCTGATACACTGTTCCAGCAACTCGTATCCAGGCACAAGTCATGCATGCAGTATACGATCTTGGCACTGAGAAGCCTCTCGTCCTCCCAGTCGGAGAACCACGCAAAGTCTCTCAAGGCGGTTTTTTTCTCTTCTCTTCTCAGCACTTTTACCTCACACCACCAGCCTGTACTTGCAAAGCCTCTACCGCAACCCCAAGTTAACAAAGACCCCACCGGAGTATACACCTCAAGTGTCACGCTCACAATGTTCAATGCAGACGTAGACGTGAAGCTGGATAAGAAGCTTCAGAGCGAACTACACCGATCTACAAAGAAAAACCCACCCAATCACTTAAATTACAGCCTGATCTATGTAGGCTTTTGATCCGCGACCTTGATTTTAACTTGTGACTGATTCCTATGCAGACAGGAAAAGACGAGTACAATGTGAGTGTAGAAGAGGAGAAGAGCCAGCCCGTATCTTGTGGAAGTGTTTTTCAGGGTCTCAGAGCTGATTTAAATGGGTCAGTACCTTGTTTTTGTGGACGAGTCCGTGGCTGTAACTCATGTGTGCAGTGCTGGCCAAGCACATGTATTTATCGTAAGAGCCATCTCAAGGAAGCGATTCAAGTTGGCTAAGGAATGTAGGGGCATGCAACTGGACAGACAACAGGTATCGGCGGTCATATGGCATCTAGATTTATCCCAACGGTTGAACGCGAGTCGATAGATCTAGTGTGAGTCTATTTGCATTGCTCCATACATGCATCTGACCATATTTACAGCGACCGTAACGTCGCAGGTGAGATCTACGTGTTCGCCACTGAGTCAATAACTGATAGTGATATAGTGTGGAACAGAGAGCTATTGTATGTTGGTGGCTATCTGTGTCGAGCAGCATACGAGATGGAGCTCGAAAATATTCGGGTGCTCTGGAATGAAGCTGCAAGTTCATCTAATACGAACGGGTTTCATCCGGACCCACAACTCGGCGACTGGCTGCGCGATCGGTTCTTGCATGTCCTCCGATTTTTCACTTTTCATGCCTCAACGCCTTCTTCCGATGTCGCACGTTTTCTCGAGGCTGCTTTCTTTGGTTGCTCCACTTTGCCCCTCACAGTCCTTTCGACAACGGGTGTGCGTGATGCCTCTGATGTGCGCGCTCCCGACCCCATGTTTTCGTCGTTCCTCAAACACTTGCCTGTCCTTCCTGCCTCTGTTCTATCTTCTGCTCCTCTTGCCATTAGAGCTCTACAAAGCAAAGAACTGATCACAGATATTACATTCTCGGATGTTCTGGCTCAACTTCGCCAGCATCCGCTCAACGAAGAAGAGCTCATCGCTTGTCTCAAGTGGTGGGTTGGTGTCGGACAGCAAGATCCGACGCACGATACTACGCGCGCTCGCACCGAGCTCCTTAATGCCACTATCCTTAGTCTAGGCTCAGGAAATGATATCAGGCCGATTCCCCTCTCGATGGTGCAGTACTTCATTCATCAGCGTATGATTCCGCTGGATGGGCCCTTGCCCGATACTCTCATGCCTCTGAGCGTCACGAAACATTTTACGCAGGAACAACTGAAATCTTTTGGATGGCGGGAATTTTCGATTCTTGACTGGATACAACACATCTTTAGACCAGATGTTATGAATGCTAATCCGGCACAAGACGTAACCAGGTCTTCGGAATGGGCTGAGCGAGTTTTGACCGTTTTAGCTCGCACATGGCCATCGTTGTCCAAGGAGTCGCATGAAACGGTCAAGACTATACTTGCCCAAAAATCGTGCATTCCGACATCTTCAGGTCTACAAAAGCCACATCTGGCGTACTTTCCTAGCGCCAATATATTTAACGATCTACCCGTCGTTACTTTTACATCTGGCGGTACTCTCAAGGGCAACGTGGAGAAGCTGCTCTCCTTTGTTGGCGTCCGGAAGCATGTGGACCTTCAGGTTGTTTTTGATCGGTAAGCCACTATGCATAATATCACGGAAAGTTATTCATGTTTCGGCAGAATGGTCAAAACTGGGGACTGGACAATCTCAGATCTGATTACGCATCTAGTCACTATCCAAAGCACGTTAACTGCGGATGAGATGACGAAACTCCAGATGACGTCTGCTTTCTCAAAGGAAGGCGAGAAAGCTCTTCCAGGAAAGAAGTCGCGATATAGGGCTAGTGATCTTTACGAACCATCTGTCACAAATCGTCAGCTTGGTTTGCCGATTATCGATTGGGGTGAGAAGACTAAATGGCGAAGCAGCTCCGAAGAAGGTCCGTCTCTTCTCTTGCATGTTACTCCCTCATTTGAGACCATATTTTCCTACTAGCAAAGCTTCTCCATCGACTCGGCCTGCGAAAAAATCCTCCTTTGGACTTGACTGTCAAACTCTGTGCTTCATCTGAGCCAGACATACGTTCCGCAGCATTCAAATACCTTATAGACAGCATCCCTTCCAGATACCCGGATTACAGACGTGAAAATTTTGGCCATATTGCCTTCATACCAGCAGTGAATGACTTTGGGCCTTGTATGGGAACTCCGAACGAGGTCAGCGGGAGCGTATACATCATGAATTTAAATTAATGTGATGCGCTTGATAGGTATTTGCATCACATCAGTGGAAGGTCCTCGGGTTTTCAGTCATTGAAGATACCGTTCGTGATATTGCAGTAAGCAAACTAGGCTTGAAGGAACACCCACCGGCTACCAGGATCGTAGCGTTGCTTGAGAAAACACCTCCTGAAGATAAGAATGTCGCTCGTCGATGGTTTGAGATTCTAGCAGGCCACGTTGCAGGTTTGCTTCGCTCAGCACACATGAGGGTTTGACTGACGACCATACAGACTTCAATTCATCTCAATTGTCAATAATTTCAGGGCTGCCGATCGTTCCTACGCAGGTGGAATCTGGCTCCCAGGCGCTGCGTTGGCTTTCCCCTAGCCAATGTTATCTTGGAGGGGCATCGAAGGGGCAGTTTCACTCAAAGTTGTTCGTCTTTGTGGATTTTGGCCCTTCTGCCAATAGTTTTTTGAGTGCATGTGGCTCTAAGCAAGAACCCTCTGTAGAAGAGGTAGCTAACATTTTAGTCGCCGATCCTCGAAGATTCTACGACTTGGCGGGTGGTTATGAGAAGTATGTGGTCCAGCTTTCCGCTACTATGTACACTCATTTTCTTCTCAGTTACCTCGTTGAATTGCGTAACCTGGCTGTCAACGCTCGTCTGCTATCTACAGGCGCGCTCGCCCGAATGAAAATTTCTCCCATCCTGCTCGGTTTTCGACGGCAAAGAAAGTCTCGAAAGGAAATAAACAAAGCCCTAGATCTCGACGAGGACGACTGGGAGCTGCTTTACGATCTTCGGAAGCCCCTGGATGTTGTAATCGCGGACGATACTAATGCTTACCAGATGTTTGGAGAGTCCATCTATACTGCACCGCAAGAGGATCTCATTGAAAGTGAGTCTTCGGCTCTCTACTGAGGTTGATCTAATTGTTCCACAGACTTCTATGCAACTCTGGGTTCCAAACGCCTTAGCGCTGTCGTGAAGGAAGACTACAGGGTCAACTCGGAGATGAAACATAACAAGTCTGCAGCTGACACACGTGCGCTCTTATTAGAGAGGCTGCCGTTGTTCCTCCACGAACACACGCATACGCGCACTAAGGTTTCTCTCAACTGGCTCTCTAGCCAGGAGAATTTCAAAGTCAGAGTTTTCGGCAAATTGTCCGTTGTGAAATCGCTTTCCTTCGGAGATAATACTTTGAAAATGGAGCAGGATGCCTCAGCGGCTGCTAAACGTTTGGGCCATGGGCCTATTGAGCTGTGGCTTTCAGGAAGCACGCAAGTGGACATGTATGAGTAAGTGTCTTAAGTTATGTTGAATCAGCTGCAGGTTAACGTGGCTCGTGTAGAGTAGCGACATCGTTGTGTCGCCTGCTGTTCGAGACGGTCAAAGTGAATGATGCGCTCTTGTTCATGACTATCCTTTCGACCGACTTGAAGGCTCTGAAACGGAGAGGTTATAACGGTGCGTCTCCTAGTTCTCTCGTTTGACTGAAACCCTGATGTACTGTTTCAGTGGATAAGATTTTGAGACAACAACAGAACGACCGAAAGTTAGTGGAGGCAGCCAGAGGAAGCTTCACATCGGTGCCAGTGCCTGACCCACGCATGAGTCAGAACTTGGAACCTGAAACGCGTTCATTATCTCCCTCACATCGCGCTAGAGTCCCAGGGAGTTGGAATACATCACCTCCAAAGGCAGTAGCATCGAAACCCTTTTTGCCACCCGCTCCGGCTCCACCCCTTATTACAGCTCCGGCAGTGCCACCACCAGAGTCGTCTACTCCCGATGCGCCCCCTCAACATACAGTCGACAATGAAGACGTCGGACGACATCCCATGATTCCAAATGTTGTGAACAACACATTGCAGAATATCAGGCGCAAGATACCTGGCTTCAACAGTCCATCGGAAGACGCTCTTACTCTCTCACGGGGGCGATCCCCAAATCCGAGGTAAGAGAGTCATTCGTTATGGCGAGACGATATTTTTGAACTAGAGGTCTCCTAGGACACCTCCAACTGTGACTCCGCAGAGCAACATTCGTAAGCTTGGAGAAATCCGCTTCATACTTGTCAAGATACTTGCTTGACATATTGCTAGGATCCAATGTTGCGATGGCGATCAAAGGTTGCAGGCCAGAGGAAGGGAAGCTAGTACACAACAGACGCGAGATGCAAACGATCAAGGAATCCCTAAATGAGGGGTATTGTGATGTCTCCGGCCATGTCGCTGAGCTTGATTACAACGGTAAGTAGTGGGTCAGGTCCTGAACTTAACGACACTAATTGATGTGCAGGTGTTATGGGTACAATGAAAATCTTCATCGCTCGGGGTGAGTATGCCACTGTCCTGCACGACGCAGCATTCACTGTTTATTGTACAGATGTTCCCGAACCCCATACATTCATTGCAAGGAAACATGATTCCCTCGCGCGTTTTATTCACACTGTCACGCCCCTTGCAAACGTCTATAGTCTTCCAATGACCGCACTTCACATCTTTTACGACCTAGCGGGCGGCTTGATCGCTTTTAATCGGAATGGCAGTCTCTTTCTTAATTATCGCTTCTTCGAGGCATGGCGTGCGTGTGCATACTTGGAGCTCCTTTCTTTCCTAATACTGTCAACTGTAGATGATCAAGATGTGAAGAATGGCGATATCAAGCAGGCTTACATTTCCTGGTAAGGCATTATCAGGCATCATCACAGCTTGAAGTTATTGAATTAATGATCGGTCCCAGGTACTTCACGCTAGCCCACGAGATCGCTCACAACCTCGTGCAACCCCATAACTCTGAGCACGAGTTTTATTTCTCTGCGCTCTGCGAAGCTCACATTGAGAAATTCACCCAACTCTTATCTCAGTAATCTGGCAGGCCGTGAAACTGATACATAGTCAGACAATAATCACTTCGCTCACTGGAACCAAAATCGAGTCGGTGGATCTATAATCTTGAATGATCTATCTACACAGACAACAACTGCTGGACATTGGCAATTATTCTTTCGTCAGAAAATATCACAGTTCCGTTTCGTCATTCCAAGGCACGTATTATAGAATTAAAGAATATAATTATGAAAGTCCTAGGTCTTGCAATACGGCTTGACCAGCAATGGAAGCTGGCTTTTATTCTCAGGGTCACTGCGCAAGAACGGCCTCTGCACGATCGTCGACCTTTTTCCGATATCCGAAGCAGGAACAGCAAGCTCGAACTCAAAAGCTCGAACCAGGGTGAAGAGGAGAGCTTTCATCCTGTAAAAGGTCGTTATTGTTGAAAATAAAAAGAAAGGTTGCAGAAAACATACTCCACTAGTGAAAAGCGATACCCAATACACGCGCGCGGACCACCAAGGAACGTCATGAGGTGTCCCCAGACCCCAGGAACTTGCGAAGCTACCTCTGGAAGTGATGCCCAGCGGTCAGGATTGAACTCCTTTGCATCAGTTCCCCAAATCGCCTCCGATCTGTTGACTGCCAAGATGGGGATGAAAATCGGGTCGCCCTTGCTAATCCTGATGCAACCGTGATGAGATACTGATGATCATTGAAAGGGACGCTTGCAACGTACTTGATCCCATCATGAACCACTCCATACTTGTCCGTAAAAGGCTTGTCCACCGGGAGGATATCGTCTTTCATCGCGATGCGAACTGTGCTAGGGACGGGGGCATGCAAACGAAGTGTCTCGCGCACGACCGCGTCAAGATACGGGAGCGCTATGAGTTCGTCCATGGATGGAGTCTCGGTCTCCAGTGTCAAGAGTTCCTCCCGGAGCTTGGTTTGAATGTCCGGGCATAAGCAGAGTGCATAGAGTGCCCAAGTTGTTGCCGTGCTATCCGACTGTGTAAGTATGGACTATCCTCTACAACAAGTGACATCCGCACCTTGTGGTCTCATGTCCTGCGACCAAAAAAGTCGGAACCTCTAAGTACACCATAAGCATTCTGCACGCATAATTCCAAATGACAACATACGCGCAAGCACATCCTCGTCCGATATCCTCTGGTTCTCCGGGATATCGGTTGCCATATTGGCACGAACAAGTAAACTGAGTAAATCGCGCCCTTGAAGACTGCTCTTTTCAATGGAGCCACCTTTTTCAGCGCCGTGAGAAGATATGACAGCGGCTTTAGCATCATGCAGGAGCTGGCTGCCGATGCGACCCATTGTTTTTTGAGCTGCATCTATCTTACGATCGCGATCAGAGGGCTGGAGGGGGTTAGCGGAAATTTACGTCAGATCGGAATGGTGAACTTACAATCCATCGGAGCAATGGAATCCATGCCTTAAGTATGGGGATGAGGCTAAGCTGCTGACCGGCAGAAAACATAACCGTGAAGGCCTGGTTAAGTTCATTCGGTTTATTGGTTGCATTCAGGGCATCAAACTCATAGTTGAAACCTACAACGCTCATTCGGTGCTGCCAGGAAGCTCCTTCGGAAAGGACATACCTGCAAGTCCGATAACGTCCAACGTCATTTTGCTCAGCCAGGGCATGATATCTATCCGAGTCGCGTGTTCACTGGCAACGGTCATGGTAGACCAGACGTCTCGAAGCTGGAAGACAGCGACGTCGACATCAATATCTAGTAGAAACAAACCAAGCTTACTTTGATCGATTTGCTGATGAAGATGTCCGTTAGTGCGCGGATCTGAGCGGGTCCAAAGGCGGGGTTCTTCGGAAGACATGGTCAGCTGGTCCAAGGCAAACAAAGGTGAATTGTACCATGATCCTTCTCTGAGACATGGCATCAGCACTGTAACGTTGAGATACGTGACAAAACATACCTGCTGACGATGTTGAGCCCCTTGAGACCGCCATGAGTGGAAGTTTAAATATCATGCAGCCGAGATCGCACCTTCAACAAATAGGACACCTTCGATGATGTCAGACACTCTATGATAACAGTAGACACTGGCACGCACCTTCGCCCAAAATTCTAGAAAGATTATACCGGACTTGTGACGGTTTCTGGTAATCACTACTATGGGTGAGAACATGGTTCAGTGCACGAGTGTCCATCGTGAACAATCGGTCTGACTGAGAAAAGAATTTCAGACATGATAAGTTTTGTAGAGCAAGAGGGATTGAACATACAAAGAAGAACCCTTTGTATTTCAGGGTTGTCCCATACTGCCCTACCCATTGCTCGTGAAGCACTGAATTCTCCTGTGAGTTTTCAATGAGTACGGCGCCATGGTGAGTTTGATGGACCACTATACCGCATTGAAAATGTCTTTCAAGTTGCCATATAGCCAGCTTGTTCCTTTGGGGCCTGGGAGTGCGCGCAGGGGCGACGTAAGATTGTGCCAGACTCGTTCTCCCAGCTTCCAACATCCGAATGCAACCAGTGCAGAGCTTGCTGAAAAAACAAATTTCCACAGGATATGGGTGACCATGTTGAGGTAGATGAAGTTGCTCTTCACAAACGTCAATGTGTACTTATCGTGTACATGCGATCATTCTAATGTGCGCTACGCGCTGACGTGCGTGTCTCGCCGAAGGCACTAAGTACACAGCTACATGTGCCGTTGGCATGCTGATCCGAGCACATAGCCTGGAATGCTGCTGCGGCCCGCGGCCAACGGGTAACTGCGTATTAGTGAGAATCGGATGCTTTTCATAGACAGTCTATTAATGCCACCTCGGGCCCACCTCGGGCTTCTCCCATTCAACGCCAGGCTCCGCCTGCAACCGTCGTCGATCTGCAAGGCAGCTGCATGTACCCTCCATAATAAGTATAATATGTAGAAGGAATGAATGTCTTCCTTCTGACTACGGGAGATTATAATATAATAGTCGATCTGATCTTGCGCGAGGGTTTTTCACCACAGCGGTCGAGCGGCAAGCATGTGAAGGCATCTAGGCTCGGAAACGTTCCCGTGAACCGTGCATGTATATTAAGTCCGGGAACTTTTGATCATTGTCACGTTCAGCCATTCGAGTGGGCTCGTGCACCATATTCGCAACCTTTAATTTATATTTTGATCCATCAGTGCAATCCACAACATATAATCTTATGTTGACCTCGGAGTGGCGCGACGGTCCCTGCGTGCGTCTCGCGCGTGCCAGGGCGAAAACTTGGAGCTCACTGCTGCGCTGTGCCTTGTTTTCCTTTTGGAACTCATCTCTGCTCCATCTTGCTCCATCCCCTTACAACATGCTGTCGAGTTCCCCGCTCTTGGCAACAATCAATGTCAATCAACTTATCAACTTCTCCTGTCACGGACAGTGTGCACCGTGCAGACGTGACCCAACGGTGATGCAAAAGCTCGACATTGACCTAAGCAAAGGAGCTTCAAGCCAGAGAACGAGATGAGTCGAGATATCCTTCCCCCTGGTGCGCATGATCAACAGTTGTTATCTCTGCTAAATTTGAACGTCTAACAAGGTCCACATGCAGGTCTGCTGAGTGCTCAGTCGTGGGAGAAGTCAACCTTACCTCAATGTCTTCCTTGTCACCGTTATCGCTCAAGTGACCTCTGGGAAATGCTCCGCTCGGGGGTACTTGAACCAAGCTCATCTTGTCGCCCTCTTATCGCTAGGTGACATCCCCCTCTGCACGCAAAAATGGGCGCAAAACCACTTACCCTCTTCTGGGCATGGTTAGCGCTTACCCAGTCCTTATACGTCTCCCGAGGGGTGGTTTCCGCGTCAATCACAACGCCTCTACCCGATCTCTACGAGGCATCTGTGATCGAGCTTCAAGCGGGCCTTACCTCGGGGCAGTTCACGAGTGTCGACCTCATCAAGGTCCGTAAGCATGCAGTGGTCTTGCATATCCTGCAATGATACTAATGGAGTTATGGATATGGTTTTGCATTTTGATCGGACAGGCGTACTTTGCCCGCATCGAAGAAGTCAATCTCCAAGGGCCGGTGCTTCGTGCTGTGATTGAAACCAATCCGTCGGCGCTACAGGAAGCTGCGGCGCTGGATCATGAGCGGCTCACCTACGGGCCACGAAGTGCGCTCCATGGGATCCCGGTGCTTGTGAAGGATAATATTGCAACTGTAGCATTTGAAGGTGTGTTTCAATGATATGGAGTGGAAAGCCGATGGTTATAGCGACACTCCAAGGAATGAACACGACTGCGGGATCATATAGCTTGTTGAAGTCCGTGGTTCCGAGTGATGCGGGTGTAGTGAAGCGATTACGCAAGGCAGGAGCCATTATTCTCGGTACGTTTCCCGGAGGCGCAGTATAATATCAGAATCCAACACAGTATGCCACTGCAGGTAAGGCAAACCTGTCTGAGTGGGCACACTTCCGTGGAAATATTGCCTCTGGATGGTCAGGACGTGGAGGGCAATGCACGAATGCGTATTACCCAAACGCCGACCCGTGTGGTTCGTCGGCTGGTTCAGCTGTCTCTGCATCTATCGGCCTGGCTGCTGTCACTCTTGGGTTCGCTCCAGTTCACTATTACACTTGCACTTTAACTGATATGAGAGGCAGGACAGAGACAGACGGAAGTATCACATGCCCGGCAAATCAAAATAATGTGGTAGGCATCAAGCCCACCGTGGGATTAACATCCCGTGCTGGGGGTAGGTCTTGTCTCGCCTCGTCTACTATCAGGCTCACATATCAATTTCCAGTCATCCCGATCTCCGAGCACCAAGACACAGTCGGTCCGCTCACTCGCTCTGTTACAGATGCTGCCATCCTCCTTTCCATCGTCGCCGGCCCAGATCCTAACGACAATTTTACACTGGCACAGCCTATGCCCGTCCCCGACTACACCATGGCACTCAGTAACACATCACTTGTTGGCAAGCGCATTGGAGTACCTCGCTCAGTCTTCTTGAACGACAGCTTGACTGGCAATGATCCATATGTGAATGAAGTATTTGAGCAGGCGCTGGAGACGCTGAAGACTCTGGGCGCGACAATTGTAGACCCTGCTGATTTGCCTTCGGCGTATGAAATCTACGAGTCTAATAATGAAACCGTTGTACTGGATGTCGACTTCAAGGTATTTGAGCACATTCAAAGCATTCAAAATTTCGATGCTAACACTTTGATTTGGCAGGTCCAACTCAATGCCTGGTTTGACAGTCTCATCGCAAACCCATCAGGGGTGGCTTCACTTGAGGACCTAATCGTATTCGACAACAACAACCCAACACTCGAGGAGCCTGCAGGCTACACAGATCAGTCTGAGTGAGTACCCTTCAAGTGCACCGCCACACTTATTGAAATCACTGTAGGTTGATCGAATCACAGGCGACTACTGGTTTTAATGCGTCTTATTACCAATCTCTCGCGTTTGACAAGGAACTCGGTGCCACTTATGGTATCGATGCTGCCCTCGAGACGTATTCTCTCGACGCTCTGGTGCTCCCTGCACCAGGTTACACGACTGTTCCTGCCGGTTCGTACTGAAAATATGTTTGTTATATATTGACTCAGACGCAGTACTCTCGCAGCCATCGCGGGATATCCGATTGTCACGGGTAAGTGATCTGTTCGATGTCTAACTATGTAGTTGGTTAATGCTCCCGGCACTCAGTGCCTTTGGGTTTCTATCCAGAGAATGTTACAATTGGTAGCGCTGGACCCGAGACTCTGTATCCGGCTCCAGGCGTCCCCATTGGACTTTCGTTCCTTGGAACAGCATGGAGCGAGTATAGCCTTGTCAGTTTTGCATATGCCTACGAACAGAAGACGCAGACAAGGCTACAAAGGACAGCTTACGCTGCGGCAATTCCGACAACACAGTTGGCGGATGTGATAGGGACGTAGTTGTCATAATGTGCCCTGATATGGGTTCGCTGTTTACCAAACCTCTCCCTCGGTTGTATAGACTTGGAATACAAATCATTCTTTGATTTGCCGTGTTGGAAGGCGGGTGCCAGTCCAACAACGCCGCAGGCTCCGTGTTGACGTTGAAATGTCAAGACGTCACACCATTCCAATAGTAGCCTTGGCGTAATGTGTTGGATGACATTCGTGCAAAGGTAGAGTTATCCGTAGTGATGTAAATTGGTAGCCGAATGCCTTTGTAAAAGGGCGTAAAGCGAGTGGGCGAAAGAGCTGAATGAGAAAAACTAGGACTAGGGGGAAAGTGTAATGGAACATTCCGTAAGGGAGCCAGTCACTAATGTTCGCGCCGTAGAGTACGGATTCGAGCGTAGGCAAAAAGACGTCGTGAACTGCTAGTCAATAGTCTGGTAGCAGGAACTGGCTGGAGTAGAACATCGGTGAATGGATTAGCGAGGCAATTGCATAGAGAACAGGTATCAGCAATTTGTAGGGAAATACAGGGATTTGCATGAGGGTAAACCAAAACCTAGGGGGCGGATGAGCGTATATGCAGAATGTACATATATAGCATATAGAGTCTTTGAGGGTTCCGGAGCCTGGAGAGTATCGGTGTCGGGAGAAAAATATTTGTCAAGTCTGTTGACTGCAGCGACGAGCACATGAACTGTGGTTAGTAGTACGCAAGCCTGAGGCCTGAGGGACCTGCAAGCTGTATTCCAGACGGCATGGTATAATACTTCCAATGTGGACCGGGAGCGTTCTTGTTGCATAAAGAAGTCGATCACAAATCTATACCTGCGAATGCTTTCGGAGTCGTTACTTCTCACTACGGAGATCTTGGCTTGCTCGCTTGCCTGCCGCAGCAGCAGCATACATAACTGACTTGACATGCATGCCATCGGACACTGACAGTCAAAACAAGCAACATCATGTCAGTGTCACGGTAATAGTAGTTGTAACTTCCCACAAGTGCTTCGACATGGTCAAAATCTATCCTGTATTAAACTGCCAAAGATTGTCAGTAGCCGACATGTCTGTGACTCTGCTCGGAGTTGAAAGACAGCCATGAATGATTGATGATCACCCACCGCCCTAACATATGGCTTGGAAGCGAACACTTGGCAGACAAGTGAGTACTACTGCGCACCCAACTTTAAGTCAGTGCTATTATTGTTGTGACTTGAGGTGGCTGCGCAATTGATCATCCTGTACGAGTCCGGCGAGTGAGTGCAGTCTGACGTTTATGTTTTCGATGGTCACCTTGCTGTCAGTTGCTGTGCTCCCATGCGCTGGACTTTATCCTGAAAAAACTCCGCAAATATCTTTCCTTCCTATTTATATATGGGACCAGTGGTTGCATATGGGGGCGACTTGGTTCATAGGCCTTAACTCCAAGTATAGCTTTCGTGATGTACATTTTCCGCCGCTTGACGGGCAAGAATGCTGAGCCACAAAGTCTGTCTTTCTATGTTCTATTCTGCATTATTTTGATCCCTGAACTCGTTTCTGCTGCAGTTACCTTCGCAACTTTCAAATGATCAACCACCTCAGTCTAAGGTTAAGGAGGGCGGTTTCTGGAAGAAATTTGATTGGTGGTTGATGTGCGCTTTGGTCATCCCAGTAACACTTGAAACTTTAGATTATACGGGCAAGTCATTTTCGTTTTTTTCTGCCTCTTGTCTCACCCTGTTGGAACTTCCAGTCGTCGCCACGGCGCAACCTCGAATTGCAGTGAGTGTTGTGTTGCCTTCAATCTGCAGGTCCTTGACAATACTTTCAGTCTGTATTTAACGCCTTAAACTTGCAAAGGTACTTATACATATCGAATCGCGACATGGGGGTTCTACTGATTTTCTGCTATTAGCTATATTGGCACGTCATACTTGTTGGCATCAACAGTTTTCTTGCCCTTTTTTGCATCCATTGCCGATATCTATGGTCGTCACTTTGGACTTCAACTGTCCCTTCTATTTTTCCTTGTCGGTAGTGCCTTCAGTACGGGAGCTGTCAACATGACAATGCTTTTGGCCGGCAGAGGAATAGCTGGTATTGGAGCCGCTGGTTTGTTGACAGTATGTATACTCCTTTCTTGTGAAGAACGTTCTAATTATTGATAAGATTGTGCGGACAATATTGTCAGATTCGTCCTCACTGGATACGAATAATATCCAGCAATCCGCCATGTTCTTCTTATATTCTCTCGGTTTTTGTATAGGCCCCGTCATCGGTGGTTTCCTAGTCACGGCCAGCTTCCGCTGGGTGTTCGCGATCAAGTATGGATTTCCCGATACACTTCACGAACGATGTTAATGAAAATATAGCCTTCCGTGTGTTGCTCTTGCCATGATTCTGTGTTTCTTTTTGCTTCGCAAACGTGTCAAAGGTGCCAAGTCATCTGAAGAACTTCCAGGTTCCGCCAAATCTACGACATGGATAATTAAGCTAGCCCTCATCGACTGGATCGGGACGTTCCTCTTCGTTATTGGAGGCGTCCTCATTCTACTTGCACTGAACTGGGGTCCCGATGACGACTGGAAGACTGTTCGCGTCATAGTCTGCCTGGTTATCGGTGTCATCGTCTTTGTGGCCTGCATTCTTTGGGAAGTCGTCTTGGAGCGGAAGCATCAAGCTTCTACCATGGCATTCGCGGCGCTTTACCATGTGCAGCCCATGCTGCCTCTCGAGCTCTTCCGATCCTACGACATCTGTGTCTTGCAGTATGGTTGCTTCGTGTCCGGCATTGTCATGTTTGTGATGTTCTACTTCGTCGCAATATTTATGACCATCGTCTCTGGCTTGTCACCTGATCAAGCCGGTATACAACTTCTTTATTTTGCTCCTGGCATAGTATGTTTTCGCTCTGTATCGGATCACAAATGTCTGACTGTTATGATAGGGAGCAGGGAGCCTGGTTTCCATTCGGTTGATCAAGCGCTTCAGACAGGTAGACAACTGCAGTCTTCCGCTGTAAAACATACATATTTAACGATCCTTCCAGCCGATCTATCCAATCATTGCTGGATTAATCGTCATGACCGTTGGTTTGGGTCTCATCCAGATGGGCATGCAGAAGAATGTGCAAGGGCTTGTTAATGGGTGCGACATCTATGTACTGGTCAGAAACTGATTGCTTACATCTGAACTTAGCTTCATGTGTATGACAGGTTTCGGGGTTGGTCTTACAGCTAGCCCTAATGCCGTTCAAGCTCGCTTTTTGATGCCAGACCATGTCGCCGTAACTAACGCTCTGTTGCTTTTCGTAAGTTGTGTCGACATGCCGTATGGTGCGCATACTCAAATGACATCCCGTAGTTCCGCGCCCTCGGTGGAACCGTTGGTCTAGCACAGTGTTTCACTGTCATGAACGCTAAAGTCAATTCTTACATCGTAGGGCAGATACGAAGCGGCGCTATCTCAGGCTCTGACCTCAATGTCCTTGAAGCGCTCTACAACAGTGGTGGCCTCGACTCCATCCAGTCCCTCGACGGTCTGCCGCCTGTTGTGCAGCAGATCATCCGTGATGCTTTCAGGAACGGTGTTCGTTGGAGTTTCATCTCCCTCATTCCTTGGGCTGGCTTGGCAGTCATATTGTCCTTGTTCCTTTCTAAGATCCCTGATCCTGATGCTCAAAGGACCGATCACGACGAAGAAATGGAACTATCAGAACAGGACGATGCGCGAGAACCTTCCGATGAGCTCGAGGGTGACGAACATGATGACATGCCCATTCAGCAGCAGAATCGTTAAATTTTAGTTGAGGGGCCTGGTAGATGTCGTTACATTATTCTTCTTGCAATCTCGGCGTGCAGCTTGATTCATTCCTCCGATCATATACCCGTCGTACAAGTTATGTTATTTGTCATGTCCACATTAGCCTTCCATCTAATCTACATCCTGGTTGCATCCTGACGACTTTCTGTCAGACTCAATCTTATGCTGAGATATCAAGTGGTCGCAATTAAAGCTGCCTGCGATCTTTGCACCAAGCTCTGGAGAATGTTCACCACAACCCCAAACTAACCCTCCTCAGCGCTCGCTGTATCCTCGGAGATCGGTGGACGGACCCCCCTTTCAGGCAGGTAGTTTGACCACACTAATTATCCACCGCGTATGAAGGATATGCCAATGTCTTGTAGTAGTTGAGTGGCGGGGCGCCTTGCTCTACAGGGATGGAGTATATTTATTCCACCCAGAGGACGAGGAAATTGGAAAGGTGCGCCCCTCGATCGACGTGCTTTCAAATTGGTTTCGCTTAATCTCCTAGTTGGCCTCCCATCATCTGATTTTTTCGTATTCGAACGCCCAACCACGCAATGCAGAGTCATTTGGATTAGACACAGCTGAACAGTTGATGCTTGTGCCAGCAGCACAACTCATAGAGCCGGCAAGAGTACTCGGAGGTGTATTTCAGCCACCTGGAAATGTTTAAACCAGCGGCATGCCGCCATTCTGTCCCTCATTAGGTGATTGTTCGGAACACATCTGATTGTGAACGCAGCCCTCAAACTCCCAAACGAGATCCTATGCGCAACACAGCGAAACGTGTGTAGACACGTCTGGGTAGCGAGCAGAGGCGTATCAAATGTACTTGAAGACATGGAAGGCATACTCGGGGATGCAGTCACGGAGACGCAAGGGATACCGCAACAGGAGATCCGATGGGAGACGACAGCGAGATACGTAACGGAGGCGATGGAGTCGCCTGTGGACAAAGGAGTTCAGGACCAAACATCGAAGGGTCCCGCCTTCGGCACGGACACGGGCAAGGCAGGTGTAGAGAGCGAGACAGTTGTTGCAGCAGTTTCTACATTCGCTGTCGAAAATTAATTGTCGTTATCCGACGAGCTAGAGGAAGCCTTGGGCAGTGGAAAAGCGCTCCACCCCAACTCACGTTTCTTAACCTGATTCTTGTGCAGAGATGATGTGATAGTGATTTGCATTGATGCGAAAACTGGCAGGGTCTGTCGTGCATGTGCATCCAAGGATGCGATAACGACCATGAAGGTTCCCTCGTACGGGCTTCTTCGCACGTTGAGAATGTGCTTTATCCTCTTCATCAGAGATGGATAGAGAATGCATGTGTCCCTTGCGGAATGTAGGCTGCTTGATTTGCTTTGATTGCAGTGGTGGGTAAGACTTGTCGGGTTGATCCAACAAAATTTCGTCGAGGCCAACCCCTTTACTTTCGCAGAAATATCCCAAGTGTACGCATTTTTGTCCTCAAGGGCGGTGGCTACTAGTGGCTTTCCATCTGCCAAAAACGACACAGATTGCATGTCAGATACATGATCGAGGGGCGAATTGATGGACTGGTTGTTGCCGAGGTTCCATAATCGCGCTGCGTCGTCGTACAATGCGCTTGTGGGGATGCGGCCCGGTATGGTGCATCTTTGGTGACGGTTCAATTTGCCGTCATGACATCACATACTCCCGCACTTCAGCGCTGCAGCTGCCAGACGCGTTGTAGGCGTTTGCACGTGTTACAGTACAAGGTGATCACATTCCGCACTCTTTTAAAAGCTGTGTACAATTGGAGTTGTCAATGAGTACCATGGCAAAACCTTGGGCTTAAGTGGAGCGCATATGGCGTCGACGCGAATCTGCCGTCGGACGCTGGACAACGGGTAGCACGAAGTAGTGCTGCAGTAGTCGAGCTCACCGTTGCTCACAACGAGCACGAACGTTTCGGCAACGTGTGATGTCGACTCGGAAACCTGGTGTGACATACAAGTGACAAGCCCTACTGCCCGACTACAACCGATAGCCATGGATAAGTGAATCGCCTGTTGCAATTTGAAATTCGTTAGTCCCACTGCTAATCATCTTGTCACCCTTCTTCGACAGCCGGCCCTGCGCACGGACAATGTCTTGCATCCGTTGCCCTGCATCGCCAATATCATACTGCGTTGTAGATTTAGCGGGACGCGAGCCGCGACCTTTGGATACGCTAGTGAATTTATTCTTCCGGTCAGTAATCGAGTTTGGCGCCTCACGCAGCGCAAATGCTTTTGCCAGATGACCAATGTGAAGATGTCGGATATGGAATATTTGCTTCTCGTTCAAAGGATGGGTCGCATAAGCCCTCATGTAAGAGGTAAATGCTCTTCGAGCAAGTTCAGCGTTCTGCAAACAATATCAACACAGTCGAATTCCTTTCCAAATCAAACTTACCTCTTTGCGTTGCAAAACCCACCGCTCAAAAGAAAGTTGCACTTCTGTCGCGCGCGCCTCGTACTCAAAGCCTTTTCAACCAAAACCCTTCGCCAACACACTCTCGATGCTTGCCCCTTCAAGAGTGACGTTGACCTTGTCACCGTCGGACTTTTCTCCCGTCACATCGCCCCTCATCTTCTCCTCCACCCATCTCACCCATTCAGATTCGTTGGGCGCGACGATACTCCAAGCTTCACCACCGTTACCTGCACGAGCTGTCCGTCCGACCCTGTGCACGTACTCAGTCGCACCGCCTTCGGTGGGCAGGTCGTGCTGTACGACTGCGCGAACAAGGGGTAGGTCGAGACCTTGGGATGCCACAGACGTGCAAAGGAGAATAGAGGACGCGGGCGCAGGTATCTTGGACTTTGAGGAAGAAATGGCGGAGAATTCCCGTAGAGAGGCTAGACGAATTGGTGTAGGAAGGGAGCCGTGAAGACGGAAGATCGAAGCGCCTGGAAGGAGCGAAGACTTCGCAGCGATTTTGCTTTCCTTTTCATCTGCCTTGCTATCTTCGTCGTCACTTTTGTCTTCGCTAGGCACAGAACTTTCCGTCTTCTCGCTATCCATAGATGAATCGCCTAGCAGGCGCCAGTGAAAATCGACGGAGTGTATACAACTGAGGAATACAAAAATTTTCGACCCTTTTTGTCCTTGTGTCTGAGCTAGCAATGAGCGAAGAAGTGCGACAAGACGCATTTTGAGGGGAACAATAACATATTTTTGGGGAGAGTTGTGACGGGGGAGTGAATTTCTCGGTGGCGGTGGTAGCTGTTTCGTTGCCATGTTTTAATGCGGGCGAATCCTCCGCCTTCTCGTTGTCGAGGCTCTTGATTACTAGCGGTCGGATTAAAGTGGTGCCTGCGAGTTTCTGTACATCTTCACGGATAGTAGCCGAAAAAAGAATTGTCCGTCTCTGCCGATCCCAATCCCAATCCGGGACCTCGAAAATTACCGTCCCGAACAGCTTGGAGCGCGAGCTTCCTCCTCCCATCCAGACTCTGTACAATCCCTTTGATAGTGTCCTCAAACCCGAGCTCCATCAAGCGGTCCGCCTCGTCCCGAACCAACCATCTACATTTTCCAACGTCGAAAGAAGATGTGTTTTGTAAATGATCTAATAGGCGACCTGGGGTGGAGACAACAATCGGAACACCTTTCCGTAGACGCGCCTTCTCGTGCGCACGAGTTGCGCCTCCACTCAGCAAACCGGAAACTAACCACCGGGTACGTAGCTGAAGCGTCAATAGTGCTTCTAAAACGTCGGAAATTTGCTTAGCTAGTTCACGAGTAGGTACGATGATAATGGCGAGCGTTCCTATCGAGCGGTCGATCCAGGAGTGTGTACTGAGGGGGAGAAGATCGTGGATTATAGGTAGGAGGAACGACATGGTCTTTCCGGAGCCGGTTTGCGATTGTATAAATACGTCGCGTGCATTCATGTCCTCAGAAGAGGGATTCGTGAATATCGGAAGGGCAGTATGTTGAATAGATGTCGGCTTCGTGATATTCATCTTGGATTGTAGGTGAGCGACGAGGAGAGGGTGGAGACCTAGGTCTGCAAATGTGGCTGAGCTAGTCAATGGCGCGTTACTTGGTTTAGAGGGTGCTTTTTGTACAGCGGAGGATATAGGAGCTTCGACTTTGGGGTTGTACGAGAACAGAGAGGAGATTATTTGAGTCGAAGGCTTAGCTGGAAGTGCCGGACGGTCCGCTGCAGAAGCTACTTTGGTATCAGGCAAAGGTATGTCAGGTCGCATCCGCTTTACAGGACGAGAATGGTCATCATCGTCGCCGCCAGCATGATGGTTAGTCCTTCGTTTCTGGACTCGTTTAGCCTTCAGCCTACACCATGACGATTAGCTGCATAAATGATATCGAGCTTCTGCTCACTTATCCGTCCAGCGACCAGACTTTTTTGATGCCAGCTCTGTGGGTCCTGCAGATGCATCCTCTGCAATGTTCAGGACAAGTTCATCGTCCATTTCCCCCTGCGGCGCTGATGTTAGTCCTGTAAATTTCAGTCCCATTCTCAGGGTGATCGTGATTCGAGCTCCGACGTGGATCACCGTAGGGCTGCTCAATCCTAAAATGTCGTTGTCAATGTCGACTTGACCTTACGGCTAACCTCTCATAAATTACTTACGCGGACCCTAAACCTTTTGAGTGTTTCTGGTAGTAGGCTGAAGTACTACGTCTGATTAAGTATCGTTGCGCTCAGCACATTTGCTCGAATCTGCCAGACGATGTACATATTGCCGCTGAGAGAGATGAGAACTGTTTGTAAGAACAAAATCAAGAACTCGTGAAAAAGCTAAAACAAGACTGTAGCTTCAAGTTACTCAGTCGTGGAATGTATAATTAGTCAAAAGTGAAAGACTTTGGCGCGGAGTTTGCGCAGACTTCACACAGACCGGCCATTTCCTACGTATACATGTCCTCACCATCCCTAGATCACCGGTTTGTCTTTATAACGGCGTAAGGTGGCCTCTTGTACATTTTTTCCCGAGCGGGTACCCCTTGCCGTTTCGATGGCCTTGCTGGCAGTTGCTGCGTTCCTGTGTGCTGGACTCTATCATGAAAGAACTCTGCGACCGTCTTTCCTTCCTGCTTATTAGGGGACTGGTTGCATACACGGGCGACCTTGTTCACAGGCCTCAACTATAAGTATGACTTTTGTAAAGTCCATTTTCCGCCGCTTGATGGGCAAGAATGCTGAACGACAATGTCTGTCTGTCTTTCTTCTACTCTGCACCATTTTGGCCCTTCAACTCGTTTATGCTGCAGCTACTTCACATCCTTCCAATGATCATCCACCTCAATCTAAGGTTAAGGAGGGGGGTTTCTGGATGAAATTTGATTGGTGGTTAATGTGCGCTTTGGCCATCCCAGTGATACTTGAAACTCTAGACTATACGGGCAAGTCATTTTCGTTTTTTCTGCCTCTCGTCTCACCCTATTGGAATATCCAGTCGTCGCCACGGCGCAACCTCGAATTGCAGTAAGTGTTATACTGCCTTTAATCTGCAGGTCCTTGACATTACTTTCAGTCTGTATTTAACGCCTTAAACTTGCAAAGGTACTTATACATATTGAATCGCGACATGGGGGTTCTACTGATTTTTCGCTATTAGCTATATTGGCACGTCATACTTGTTAGCATCGACAGTTTTCTTGCCCTTATTTGCATCCATTGCCGATATCTATGGCCGTCACTTTGGACTTCAATTGTCTCTTCTATTTTTCCTTGTCGGTAGTGCCTTCAGTACGGGAGCTGTCAACATGACAATGCTTTTGGCCGGCAGAGGAATAGCTGGTATTGGAGCCGCTGGTTTGTTGACGGTATGTATACTCTTTGTGGAGAACAACATGAATATCCTAATTATTGGTAAGATTGTGCCAACGATATTGTCAGATTCGTCCTCACTGGATACGAATAACATCCAGCAATTCGCCAGGTTCTTCTTGTATTCTCTCGGTTTCTGTTTAGGCCCCGTCATCGGTGGTTTCCTAGTCACGGCCAGCTTCCGCTGGGTGTTCGCGATCAAGTATGAATTTCTTAGTACACTTAACAGGCGATGTTAACGGAAATATAGTATTCCGAGTGCTGCCCTGGCCATGGTTCTGTGTTTCTTTTTGCTTCGTAAACGTGTCAAAGGTGCCAAGTCATCTGAAGAACTTCCAGGTTCCGCCAAATCTACGACATGGATAATTAAGCTAGCCCTCATCGACTGGATCGGCACGTTCCTCTTCGTTATCGGAGGCGTCCTCATTCTACTTGCGCTGAACTGGGGTCCCAATGACGACTGGAAAACTGTTCGTGTTGTAGTCTGCCTGGCTGTTGGTGTCATCGTCTTTGTGGCCTGCATTCTTTGGGAGGTTGTCTTGGAGTGGAAACACCAAGCTTCTTCCCTGGCATTTGGGGCGCTTTATCATGTGCAGCCCATGCTGCCTCTCGAGCTCTTCCGGTCCTACGACATCTGTGTCTTGCAGTATGGTTGCTTCGTGTCCGGCATTGTCATGTTTGTGATGTTCTACTTCGTCGCAATGTTTATGACCGTCGTCTCTGGCTTGTCACCTGATCAAGCCGGTATACAACTTCTTTATTTTGCTCCTGGCATAGTATGTTTTCGCACTGCATCGGATCACTAATGTCTCACTATTATGATAGGGAGGAGGTAGCTTGGTTTCCATTCGGTTGATCAAGCGCTTCAGACAGGTAGACAACTGCAGTCTTCCGCTGTAAAACATATATATCTAACGATCCTTCCAGCCGATCTATCCAATCATTGCTGGATTAATCGTCATGGCCGTTGGTTTGGGCCTCATCCAGATGGGCATGCAGAAGAATGTGCAAGGGCTTGTTAATGGGTGCGACATCTATGTACTGGTCAGAAACTGATTGCTTACATCTGAACTTAGTTTCATGTGTATGACAGGTTTCGGGGTTGGTCTTACAGCTGGCCCTAATGCCGTTCAAGCTCGCTTTTTGATGCCAGACCATGTCGCCGTGACTAACGCTCTGTTGCTTTTCGTAAGTTGTGTCGACATGCCGTATGGTGCGCATACTCAAATGACGTCTCGTAGTTCCGCGCCCTCGGTGGAACCGTCGGTCTAGCACAGTGTTTCACTGTCATGAACGCTAAAGTCAATTCTTACATCGTAGGGCAGATACGAAGCGACGCTATCTCAAGCTCTGACCTCAATGTCCTTGAAGCGCTCTACAACAGTGGTGGCCTCGACTCCATCCAGTCACTCGACGGTCTGCCGCCTGTTGTGCAGCAGATCATCCGTGATGCTTTCAGGAATGGTGTTCGTTGGAGTTTCATCTCCCTCATTCCTTGGGCTGGCTTGGCAGTCATATTGTCCTTGTTCCTTTCTAAGATTCCTGATCCTGATGCTCAAAAGACCGATCATGAGGAAGAAATGGAACTATCAGAACAGGACGAGACGCGAAAGCCTTCAGATGAGCTCGAGGGTGACGAACATGATGACATGCCCATTCAGCAGCAGAATCATTAAATTTTAGTTGAGATGTCGTTATATTCTTCTTCTTGCAATCTCGGCGTGCATCTTGATTCATTCCTCCGATCATATACCCGTCGTACAAGTTATGTTATTTGTTATGGCCACATTAGCCTTCCATCTAATCTATATCCTGGCTGCATCCTGACAACTTTCTGCCTAACTCAATCTTATGGCGAGATATCAAATTATCGCCATTCAGGCTGCCTGCGACCTTTGCACCAAACTCTGGAGAATGTTCACCACGTCCCCAAACTGACTCTCCTCCTCAGCGCTCGCTGTATCCTCCGAGATCGGTGGACGGACCCCCCTTTCAGGCAGGTAGTTTGACCACACTAGTTCTCCGCCGCGTATGAAAGATATGCCATAAGATGTCTTGTAGTAGTTGAGTGGCGGGGCACCCTGCTCTACAGCAGGATCCTGCCTGACCGGGTTCCAGATCTTCTGGAGTATGTTGAAGACCCGGTCGATCTCGGCAGCACCGTTGGAGATAATCAGAGGTGCAGCAGCAGCAGATAGCAGTGGTTCATATTGTTGGCGTGTTTGAGAAGAAATAGAGAGATTCTGTGGGTTTGATACCAATCTGGCAAAACTGTGTTCAAAACTGGCGACCTCGAGTCCAGCGAAGCCGCTGCTGATCCCTGGATACAGTCAGTACAGCGCCATTCGATTGAGCGCAACATGTACTCACCCTGACGGAAAATGATTCGATCTTCGGTTGACATTGCGTACTACTTTGATTTCAAGTAGGAGAGGTGATGATGGTCTGATGATAAGGCCCGCAGTTTGCTCCCATCTTGGCTAAGGAACCTACGTTTGGTATCAGTTGGTATATGAGGATGTTTTGCTAAGCTTGCAGGCACGTAAGCACAAATTCCTTTCCTGACTAATAATTAATAATTCCTTAACACCAACCGATTTGCAACGTTAACGTACTTACCTGAAGTTATAATTAGGATTTACGACGTCATTGGTTTGTGGAAATAAATATCGAATGTATGAGGTGCTCCCTTATACTCTTAACCTTCACTTTATCAAAACAAATGAATTCCAGCTCAGGATATCGTACAGACTCTGTTACATACCCGCCCGCAGCTCGTGCTGTCCCAAGAGAAATTGTCTCCTCTCAACCTTCTTCATCGGCCATGTTGTTGCATTCCTCCCCCCAGAACAGACCCCCTCAGAAAGAGGAGCAAACACAGTCGCCGTTGCGTTTGAGAGGTGGTTGCATTCCTTGCCCCGTAAGTTGTGTCAAGTTGCAATAAGGACGAGCTGAAATCCAAGTGCCAGGGAGGAATGTGTTTCATCATTCCATGTCCATGTTGTTGTTGTTGAGACTGATCGATTCTCTTGACACGGAATCCACACTTTTACATAAATGGCAGGGTTGTGTCACATTATAGTATCGACTTTCAACGTCGGCACTAAGTAGCACATCTCGCATGCGCCTCGTCATATATATTATCTTCTTCTCCCAAACGGTACCACTCTAGTTATTACTCTTGAGCTTTGTTTCAGACGTTGGCAAAGCTAGCATGTTCAACTTCGTTTCTAGGCGTAACAAGTATCGACTTTGTGATTCGCCAGTGCCGTTGCACTGCGGACTGCGGCAGGAGCTTGAGATTTCGAAATTCGCTAAATATTTCACCCACGATCCCCTATCCAATGGCAAAACAATACCCCTGGATAATTTATATCCTACGACAGCAGTCGACTGATGTGATATCTCTAGGTGGGCTGGGCTCGTCGCCATGTTGGGGAGAACAGGACGAGAGTACTTTCTTGGGTGTCATTATTTAAGGCTGGTTCGGTACTTGGCTTGAGAAAAATAAGTCAAGTAGTGTCAAGCCTTGGTTGCGGAGTATTTGTCATAACAATCTTGTTGGTAAATGATGAATATTTGAATGCATGCCAGTGACCGTCCAGATTTCAAACATAGACCATTTGGATCACATTGTGTACCCTTCCGTGTCATTTTGCCCACATTGTCACGCGAGAGCACAGTAAGCTTCAAAGGCAGGTATTCACGCTCAGTAACAACATGCTCCTTCGTAGCATAAAGCTCTGAGGGCAGCTTTCGTTTTGACTGCATCTTGGACTCCCTCGATCGAAGTTAGTACAGCTCGTGTATGTAAGGATGCGACGGGCAAGTATCAAATGGTCTAGACAGTGAGAGCCGTTGACCTTGGCCCTTGGCCCATTATGATGAGGAGGGGACTATTTTCCGTGAGGCTGCAAGTAGAGTCAAAGGCCGGACTCCACCTCCGAGGGCCTCTAAGGCTCGCAAGGCCAAATCCACACATCCACGTCTAACGGTTCGAGCCCCGATAGACTCACAAAATGTCTACTTTACAAAGAAACGTGTTTGATTTGCAACAGACGTTCACTAATAGTAATTACGTTATATTTGCTGTTGTCTAGCAGCTATCGAAATGCACTTTGATAATTTTTTACTTTGTGCTGTGGTACACGGCAACAGATACCTGTAACTTAGGGCTTAACCGGTAACCGCTGTCTAACCTGACTCAGTGCATCATAAATTACTCCTTATTAAAGGTACATCGAGTGGATTCCAGACTTTGACTACCCTAAAATTTGGAGTCACCGTGAAATTGGGATATGCCTAGGCTCCATCTACTAGACATAATACTGGGGCGGACGCATCTGGAAGGCAGGCGCACTAGTACCAGACTGCACAAAATTAGGCAGTCCATAGACTACCATAGACTAGAGAAGCTACTATGTATGATCCAAAATCGAGGACAGCATGTGTCGCTGACGTGTAACATTCAGCTAGGAAGGCAGGCCCGGGGAAGCGGAGTTGAAAATCACATGTCTAGTTGAAGCTTTAAAGACCGCTGTCATATGCATAAATGATCACAGTATTCCGACACGATGGTCGTCAATTCCGTTGAACTTATGTGGGGTCCTGGGGTCATCGGTGAGTCCGCCGACGGTCCGTTCTATGTACCTCGATTTTGACTTTAGACTAAGGATTCATGATAGCTACAGCGTATGGATTTGAGATTTATGGTCTCTACCCAAAGTTGACATGTAGAATTGTGAAGGTTCTATGGGATAGCCTTCGGGCAGTATATCTTCTACCTCAGATCATTTCCGCAAGATTCGAAAAGACTCAAATTATTTGTGAGAAGGACTTCTGCACATCCATGGAAGCCTTGACTTAATGACATATTCAATCGCTAGATAATGACAGTCTTGTACGTACTTTGACGATGCTCGAGTGTACACTGATAACTAACGATGATGTCTTGCAGTTGTCTCGGAACAATACATGAATATGCCTTGATAGGGATGTACTGGTCTATCCTTATTTCGTGCCGTCGTAGCACCTCCTTTGAGTGCATGGCTAAACTTCCGTGGTAAGTCGATAGACTTGTTATTGGATCCCAGATCAGCTCATCTAGAGGATAGGCAGATGGTGGCAAGTACATTTACATTGATGTAATACCGCCTATTGAACATGGCTGCTGTAGCTGGGGGTATTTATGGCAGTGAGTCTTCCATATATAATTACTGTTACTAATTTTCAATAACATCAATAAGTGTTGGATTGTATTCGCAGTTCAGTGGTATGTGTCTGCCATGGATAATTTCCTGCAGCATGATATAAAGGTTGATCCGACTGTCGAAAGCTTTTATGCACACAGAGTGTGGATAAGTGAGTCATTCGGGGTCTGCGGGACCAAGAGTTTTAATGCTTTTCTTCAGTCACCGAATACAACCGCTTAATCACAGGCATAATTGTGAGACGCATTTCCATTGTTTATTTCTCAGGTTAACACCGATCTTCAGTGCGCGTTCGCCATTGCAGCATTTGGTCAGTTCTCTCGATCCCAGACACTCAACATCTGACTCTTCAGTGCCGTAGTTTTTGGCACGAGTGCGTCTATCCTTCATCCCTGATGTCAATGTCCTGATATGCTGTTGTCCTCGTCTCTAGTAACAGGCGGTCTGATGTGAGCTCTTGTTTCCGAATTCGTACGATTTCTCATATAATTTCCAAAGATTTTACACGAGAAACCCTGTAGATTTATTCGGCAAAAAGGTTGGTCATGAAATAGTTTTGAACAACCTTCTCATACTTTGACTCAGTGGTGTCAGATTTCTGCTGTCGCTGGTGCCTTGTGCGATATTCTCATTACGGGGACAGTCTGGTGGTTTTTGCGTCCTGCACGAACAGGCAATGTCCGGTACGAGCTCTGCCCTGCTCCTGTGGTCCAACTCATAATATTGAAGGTCAAACCCGAATTATCTTAATAAACTGACACAAATTTTTGTTAATATGGGTTTATTTACTTGGTATGTGCAATGTTACAAACATGTCGAACACTCCTATCACGAGGTTCTCCAGCATTATGGCAATTGCAATGGTTGTGCTCGTAAGTCCAGTTGTTCATACAACATGCGGGAAATAGCGACAAGAACTGTTTCAGTACCAAGTTCAGGATGGTGGTCTTGGCCAGTTCTATTCCGCTTTGCCTGGATCACTACTAGCAAAAAGTCAGTATGTTGCATACTCGCTGTGCAAACACTAAAACCAATCACCTTAGCCTATTTGAACTCGATGATGGCAGTGTAAGTGGATAAAAGACTCCTTTACATAAAGCCTACTAAATTCGGTGGATTTGTGGTCAGGCTAAATGCTAGGAAGTCAATACGCGAACAACAACTTGAAGTTGGCCGCAGTCCAATGGAGCTTCCTACCATACCAACCATACGTTGATCTTCCGCTCGTGTCAGCAGAGATATATTTGTTATTACTTAAGTTGCTTACAAGCTTTCAACCTGCAATCGTAGGCTAGCTAATGACACCCCCGCCGGTTGGTTGTTCTTATTTACCCCCTGACAGTTTGCTTTCATCACTCTAGTGATCATATTCTATCTTCTTTACTATTTCTTTTGGCTTGAGCCGATATGAGATGGCTATCAAGGCACTTGGCAGTTAGCACCTGAAGTTGTTGGGCATAAATGGGAAAATATCACATTCGGAAGGAGAAAAACGCTTTGTTTATGCGAATTCATATTACAGCTGTAGCTGCAATTCCGCACTAGCCAGGCTAACCTTTAAATTATAAACGCGGTTTCCTCCGTTGATTCATATCAATACAAATGCGTTTTGGAAGAACTCCTTGTATGCATGGCACACGACTAAAGACTTGCCTGCAGCTTGACAAACGTTCAAGGGTTGACAGCCTGATTTATGGGCAAAATTGTGGTAGGAGAAAAGTAAAGGAGCCAGAATAGTTGTAATCGCGTGCATATGCATGGCGTGGCATGACATGAGCCTATGTGTAAGACCTAGAATATACAAATTACCGCCCAGCGCCAGGGACGTTGCGCCTCTCCCGCCGAGGACGCTCTGGTTGCTGGATAACAGTCTGTACGATGGTCACAGGGATGGAGTCGAAATTGAGTGCCTTGAGAAGTTCCTAGGAAAATTTCAGATATCAGCATGAAATTCTTGCCAAAAAAAATATGGAGATAGCTGAAGGGGAAATCGAAATAGGACTTACAGAGGTATCCTTGTCAATCTCCAAGCCTGTTGCGCTCGTGTCAAGAGCAGACACCTCAGGCACGTAGTTATCCTTTCGCTCGCGCTCCTCCTCCTGGAGCTTGAACGAAATACCACGGACGGGCCCGCGCTGGATACGCTTCATCAAGTGGGTAGTGAAGCCGGAGACCTTGTTCCGGAGGCGCTTGGAGGGGACCACAGCCTGTGGGAAAGGTATGAGATGGTGCAAGTGGATGGGATGGAAAGATACTGACAACTTCATCGATGATGCGCTTGTTGGTATGGAAGTCGAGGGTGAGGCGGGGGTAGCTGTGTGACATATGTCAGAATCGGTCACTGCTCCAGTCCAATCTCATCCCTGTCTTTCCAGACTTCTGGTCCTCTATGCCCGAAACCCGGTCAACCGTTAGATTAGACTTACTATTTTTCGATGAGCACACGGGCAGCCCTCTTGGTGGTTTTAGTACGAACACGACCCTAATCGCAGCATCAGAAATGATAACATCCATCTGACGCAGACACGCACCATTTTGTCGGATTTTTAGTGTCGAGGACGTTGACGATGTCGATGCCTTGAGGCCAAGATCACGCAGGCGAAGCTCTCGGTGACTTCCGCAGTGGCTGAAAGGTACTATACAGTCGCACAGCCACATGTTCAGCCTTACAATCCAATTTATTCGAGTCCATAAGCCAATCATCCGGCACATCCTCAAGGCCAGCAAGGTGAGCTTGCGCTTATGTCTATGTGCGACATGCATGATTGTGCTGTATTCTTGGCTTGACCGGCCCCATGCCATGCTTTCTCGCAGCTCGTCTTGACTCGCGCTTTCCGTAGCACGACACTCAGACGAGCATAGGTACTCACATCGCGTTCGATAGTGTCACCCTTCCCATCCTGCATCGACCTTCGATAATTCAAAATGGTCCGCGTCTCTGTTCTTGTGAGTATCCTATTTGTTTTGGTATAGTGAGCCTGATCGTAATTTTGTATTAGAATGACTGCCTTGTAAGTCAATCGCATCTATGAATGGAGCTGTGTTGATTTGTTGAGCTACTAGAACAACATTGTCAATGCTGAGCGCCGGGGAAAGCGCCAAGTCCTTATCAGACCGTCCTCGAAGGTTATTGTGAAGTTCCTCTCTGTCATGCAGCGCCATGGTGGGTCTGCATTTTCTACTGAAATCTCTCATTCATTGCTTTGAGCGATTCTCGGAGTTATAACTACGATTGACGAGGCTTGACTTTCTACCCGGCCTTCGTTTTAATTCTCCGAAATATTAACTTGTCTCGCAAAACCAAACAACGCTGATCTTCTCTGTCCCACGGATCGGGGTTCACTGTAGAGTCTACATATTTTTTTTTCAACTTTATGCATTCTTAGTCGCATGGGAATGAGTACTAACTTTGATGCCTTGCAGGCTATATTGGTGAATTCGAGATCATCGATGACCACCGTTCTGGCAAAATTGTGATCCAGCTCAACGGCCGGCTCAACAAGACGGGTGTCATTTCACCACGTTTCAATGTCCAAGTGAACCAGATCGAGTCCTGGGTTAACTTGCTCCTCCCTGCCCGTGGTTTCGGGAAAATTATTTTGGTGGGCTGTTCCGAATCTAAGATTGGAATGCAGGCTGACTTCGAGCGTGATGACAGACGACTTCATCGGGAATTCTTGATCACGAGGAGGCTCGTCGCAAGAACGTCGGTGGGAAGCTTCTGGGATATGTCTACTAGAGTTGTATGCTATGTCGCCCTAAAAACCATGCCATGCATACTATGCATGTTTACTGAGCCCAGATGACTCCTTTTGTGTGATTCCTTGTATTGAGCATGAGCCAAGCTGGAAGCAAAACGTAGCCAAACAGAGCAACATTTCGGTTGTGGGCGGCATACCTACTTGTACCATATTCACGCGCCTTCATTCTCATCAACGGCATGACGCTTCCTGCAAATGACGCCTTCTCGTTAGGCCTCGCGCACAACCAGCCCCGTCGCTCGAGCTCGCGCGTCCGCACTCCATCACTCCCACGTCGCTCCTCTTCCCCAAAAATATCTTTTTCTCCACCTTCCACGTCAAGCAGCATCGTCTTCTCGTCACAGCCAGCAAATGGAATGCCTGCGAAGAGGGGACATAAGCGCAAGGCATCTGCAAGAAACGGTTCCCAACAGCTGAAACACAACGGAGAGGCGACGATAGAGGAACTCATAGAGGAGGTCGACGCGCGGATAGCACGCGAGCGCAAGCTGTCCCCCGACAGCTCACCTGATAAGCACAACACTGTGAAAAAACAGATTGATTGGGAGATTCCTCGCAAGGCGTTGCATTCATCGATTGGCATGTATATCCTTGACTCCCCTGAAGGTTGTTGGTCTGACGAGCGGTCTTTGGCAGGTTTCTTTACGATTTACCTATACACCTCCAAAGGCAACCCACAGACGGTTGTTATTGCCTTGAGCTCTGCCCTTGCTGTTCTTGTTCCAATAGATATTCTCCGCCTGAAGTACCCCCTCTTCGAACGTGCCTTTGAAAAATGTGTCGGCATCTTTATGCGCGATAGTGAAAAGGCAAGCGTGACCAACACTATGCATGCATTCTGACCTCACGTATCCTTAGAAATCATCCAATGGTGTTATATGGTATATTCTCGGCGTCAATACTGCACTAATCGCGTTGCCTCTCGACATCGCAGTCGTCTCAATTCTTATGTTTGTACCGTTCCTCTGTTTTGCCATTCCCTGTTCATCATACTCCAACAGCCTTTCTTGGGCTGACACAGCCGCATCCACTTTCGGTCGCCTCTGGGGCCCACTCACGCCCCCGCTCCCTGCACGACTCCTTGGTCTCCCTCTTGCCCCTCGTAAAAGTCTGGCGGGCTTCATTGCAGCCTCACTCACAGGCGCTGCCGCCGCTGCCGGATTCTGGACGTACCTTGGCCCGATGAGAGACAACTGGACGTGGTCCTGGGACGCTGGTGTATCGAGTATGTTTAGCGGTGGGAGCGCCGAAGGTGGGAAGGTCTTCAGTGGGTGGGCAGGTCTTGCTGTTGTGACTGTGTGCGCGGGTTTATTTTCGGGCGTTGCTGAAGCACTCGGTGAGTATATTTTATTTTTTGCTTTACTTTGCTTGCTCACTCTGGAGTGCAGATTTGGGTTCCGTGGACGATAACCTCAGTCTACCAATTATCGCTGGTGGATGCCTATGGGGACTCTTCAAAGTCCTTGGCTGGCTAGGCGACGTATTCTTATGATTCCTCTTTTCAACTCCTCCGCTGTGATCTTCGCCTTCAGCTTCAATCATTGGATACTTGCAATTTCAGTGCCTCATAAGTTCAATCTTTCATTAGTGGATATTTTACCTGGCACACGTCGACAGTGATGACGAGAGTGAAACGAGATGATATGATGGATGATATATTAACCGATTTCATGCGTTTGTCTGTGCTGCTTTAATGTGCTAGTTAGTAGAAGTAGAGTACTATAGTCATTCATCCGTATACCAAATTCAAGCCATGTTTGTTGTCCCTGTCAGCAGCTACACGCCAGAGCAGCCCAGGGTTCCACAATAATATCAGCCACCAATAAGAAATGTCATTAGGAGCAGAACGAAGAGGTCAGTATGAATGTATCATAAGATCATGAAGCAATCCAGAGTAGTTCTTTAGAGACGTGCCCAACCCAGCAACGTCAAAGAATAAGCAACATAGCAAAGTCGAGTCCAAAGCATTGTGATCTCTACCCGCTGACGCGGCCCGTATACCCCGCAGTACCGACATACACCCCCTCGGCTGTCATCACAGCCGCATGCCCGCCAGGAGTGATCATCGCGACGTGACCAGTTGGCGTGGCGCTCGCTGTGAAACCTCCGTGGGTGCGGTACAGTGATCCTGCGCTGGCATGTGTAGACCAGAAGCTGTCATATGTCAGCGGGCCGCTCCCGTTCCCATTCCCATTCCCAAACGAAGGTTGCGAGTTAGCACTGGGCTGCGAATGAGATATTTGTGGATTGGACTGATTTTGGAGCGAGGTTGCGTGATAGGATTGGGTGAAGGAATATTGGGGAAGGGGTTGGGGCATGAAGGGATTGGGTTGGGGTTGGGAGAACTGTCGATTGAGGGGCATGTATGGGTTGTATGGCTGGGATTGTATGTGCGTTTGAATCTGTGTTGGTGTTTGGCTGTGTGACGGAGCCTGGAATTGAAGTTGAGGTTGGGGCTGCATTTGCATCTGCGTGAACCTTACCATAGCTACTGGGTCGCTAAAATCGAGGGGGCTGTACGGAGGGGCTACTGTCTCTGAGTCCTGGACAGTAGCTAATTGTGTATTGAGGTGAACAGGGGCGGGAGCAAGTTGAGACGGTTCCTGAAAGGGCGGCCTTCTCAGGGAGGGTCTGTAGTGTGTGTGATGCAGATTTTGAGGTGGTGTCGGTAAACGAGTTTTGCACGGGAGTCGTCGTTAATTTAACAGGAGAATCATGCGGAGACGTGTGCCCTCGGGAAGTATCTATGGGAGGTGCTTGGTTATTGATGACCTGTTGTGATACCTCATCGACCACCACAGGTTCGGGAGGTTCTAGGACGGGTGCGGTGGGAGGGAGTGGATTCGTAGACAGTAGAGGGACAGTTTTTGTAGGTACGACAGGGCGCAGCCCGCGTACCTGCGAATGATGGAAATACAGGTTCTCAACCTCGTTCAAGTTTTGGACGTTGCTAATTAATCAACGGTCGGGCCATCAATTACCACATCAACAAGTAAGGAAGCGTACCCATCCATGCTCAACCTTGAGCTTTGCGTACTGCAGGCGCATCTGTAACTGTTTCGAGAGCTGGGATTATCGTATTAGAGATGTGATATAGGCAAGGAGCATGTCAACTGCGTCTGAAGGCATAGAAAACGTACGTGATTTGCTTTTGCGCGCTCCAAAGTTTGCTTTCGTTTTTTTTGCTCTGCTTCGTTCGACTGGGGAGATGCTATAGTTACCATGGTAAGGGCTTGCAGGTAAGTAAGTTGCAGAGACTGACAAAGTGAACTAAACCACAAAGATCCCTCGTAATAGTAAAGTTTCCTCATTTGGATTGCCGCCGGGATATTCTTTCCTAGTTCATCCAAGAACACTGCGGAAAACGATGAGCAGGCTTTGATGGACTGTCATGGACAAGTTCACTGCACTCGAACCGACGCGGCTTTATTCGGTCGACGACAAACAAGAGGGCAAGCAGAACACAACCTATTTCTCGATGGATTGGCAAATTACCTGCTGACATTCACTTGCTTATTCTTAACCACCTCCCCATCCCCGACATCCCTGCCTATGCTCGAGCATCAAGGGCAACCGCTGGTCTATCTCGCGATGAGAAAGTATGGGAACGAAGGTGGAATGATTTAGCTATCACTCGGCACGCCCTGGATGACACATTAGACGACATTGAATCCAAGCAAAAGCCAAAGGCTAGCACATATTCGCCTCCTACGATACCTGTAGATGATGATTTTGGAGATTTCACGTCTGCCCCGCGCACGCCATCTGTGCCATCTCTCTCTGCTGCATTTACATCATTCGCGTTCACAGATGCATCTCCAGGAAAGCAGACATTCCGCACCCGGTATACACGCGCTCATTCAATTCTAAACAAATGCCTAGCTCCTCTGCAGCAGCCTCCCCATGCGGTCCTTTCCGCGCTTACACCTCTCATAGGCACATCTCTGTTGTCTCAGGCTCGTTCTCTCCGCTTACTCAGCTTCTTCCTCTCCCCCCGCGTCCAACCCGTAAGAAATTGGGACATTATTCTCGCCGCTCTAAAGGCTGCTATAGATCGCTTTGACGTATCACTTCTGACTGCTTTTGATACTGCTGATTCTCGTGGAGACGAAGTGATGATGAGACAGGCTGCTCATGCCAGCTGGGAGGTGTGGCCTGGGTTTGGGGATTGGGAAATGGGCAAGGTATGGGCTGAGAAGCGAGAGATATTGTATGAGCAAGGTCGTTGGAATCCGCTAGCTAATTTCACGTGAGTAACCTACATGATCTGTATGTTTCGAGTATTCAAATGAGGCGTGCAGAGAGGAAAATACCCTTGACTTTACACCTATGGATGAATTTATGGCTAGCGTCATAGGTGCGCTGGAGGAACATGGCAAGAGGGCTGTGTTCGTCTTTCCGCCAGCTGCCGGAGTCCTCATCGGGTTCGCAGAACGTGTTGCCAACGAAGTTGTGAGTTCACGTCATGTCTATTTCTCCCCCATTTCATAACTATGGGTGCGTGCAGGTTGGCGAATACATAGCCCCGCTGCTAACGCGTGCCAGAGAGATATCGAATGCTCTCTATCTCACCGCAGTGGCTGCCAGCTTCAGGGAATCATGGAGGATTGTGGATGTTCTTACTACCTTGTCTAGTAATTTCAGCGACAAAGGTAAAGACAAGGCAGAAGATGTCGTGTACGTGATCAAATTCCTGGCACGCTCGCTCTTCCACGTTCCTGATCGTCGCTGCATTCTTTCGGAGTACCGTTAGAAGCATTGCTAATTGTGTGAATCCGTAGATTCATGATGTTTGAACCAAACATGGACGAATACCTTGACGAGGAAATAGAATCATTAAAACAGGCATTCGAGGTAATATGCAAAGAGTGGGCCCGATCGGTACGTGCCTCCCTTCCTACTGACGGTCTTTGTTCAATACCTCACTTCCAACTTGCAGACATTAGCGCTTGCATCACACGGTTCACCCACGCAAGCACAACAGACCCGCTTCCTTACTGCGCAGAACCCGGCTCTCATGAAGCGTACCGTTCTAGCGTCATTCACTGACGTACTCCTATTGCCCGTGACCATAGTCCCACGTACCGTCGGTGCCGGAGTGGTAGCTGTAGGGGGAGCTGTAGGGGGAGCTGTTGGCGCGGTCGGCACAGGTATGGTCCAAGGCATTGCGATGCTTAATCCACAGCGGTGGGTCGGTGGCACGGGATCAGTGAACAACGCAAAAGAATATACCAGCTTCGGCCTCGGTGACGCCGAAGGAGAAGCCGCTATCTTTGAGATTGGTGCTGATGAAGAGGGAGGTGATGATGGTGTTGACGAAAGTTCGATGGCACCATGTAAGTATTGATTGTGATGTGGAGTAGGAGACTCATCAGCTACAGCATCCACACGAGACTACTGCTTCGATTGCTAGCACAAACGCAGCTGCAACCTCCTTTACGCCATCTACATCTAGCACCTCTCAAACAAACGGGGCTTCCTCTGCATCTGCGATAAAATTGACGCTGGCGCCGACAGGAAATCTTGATCTCCTCTTATCCCTTGATGTTGCTCTCCAATTGATTCACGCCGACCGTGATGCACTCAAACGCTTGGAAACCTTTGCGTCGTACCCCGGTCATTATGGAATAAGGGTGAGAGAAACGATCGAAGAAGCATTCTGCGAGATGCTAGGAGTATTGTGTAACAGGCATCTAGAGAAAGGTTTTGGAATGTAAGTGATCTATTTTGCGGGTCCATCACTCGTTTGTATATTTGTCATAAGGTAACCTTCCGTGTTGGCAGAGCAACAGAGCGGATGAATTCATACAAACCATCAGAACACGAAGAAACTGCCAGTGTGGCGCCGCTGCTGCAATTTTTCGAGCTCGTCCACATAGGGGATACGATTCAAAGCATGGTACAAGTATTCTTTGACAAAGAACTGGTATGTGCATTTTGAAATCACGGACGTTTCTTCAGACTCTGCTACCTGTGTCAGGCTCCATACATCGACAAAACGGACTTCCTGAATGTGGTCGTGAGAGAGAAGAAACGCTTTGAAAATACACTCGATGACTGTGTTGCTGCAGGGCTTAATGCTGGAACACAGGTGCTAATGAATCAGGTGTGTAGTTGTGCTTTCCAAATCCTTCTTTGCAAATTCATTGGTGCGTTAGGTTGAGCACGTCATCCTGACATTGACAAAACCACGGGAATATTATCCACCAGAAGATGCTCCACTAGAATTGGGTCCCACTCGGGGCTGTACGGAAGCTATCCGATGCCTAGATATGCATTGTAAGCTTCTCAAGGGCAGCACGAGCAAGGAGGTACTTGAAGTGTTCTACCAAGAGGTTGGAATCCGGTTATTGGGGTGAGTGTGCAGATGTTGAGACACCTTGTTGTGGGAGGCTGATGTGGTGGCACAGTATACTGCAGAAGCATATCAAGCGCCAGATCATCTCTCTGAATGGCGGTTTCCAAGTCATTGCCGACCTCAATGCTTATTACTCCTTTATAGCCTCTCTCAAGGCCGGTCCATCTCCGCTGATTTCAATCGTATGCCTGATGCCTTGTGAATAGGTACCTAATATCACTGCAGATTTCTCGCATTTGAAGATGTTGGGACATGTCTTTGTCGTGGAAGACGCAAAAGATCTGGCACAGATCGTGAGAGATGTGACAAGATATGGTGGAGCATATCGACCCGAGGTATGCGGTTTTCCAGCGCTATCGCGGAACAACTCCAAATGATGTTTTCGCTAGGATATTTATGAATTTATTCAACGACGCGCTGATTGGAAAAAGATTGAGAAGACGGTAGACAAGACGATGTATAGTTTGAGCTTCAAGGAAGATTGTATTGTTTGCTGAGCTTAGAGACTGGAGTGTATCATGACGCTACGTACCAACTGTGTTGACTTGGCAGAAGGCCCGGGGAAGCGTTGTCTTTACACACCGCCAGCTCGGCCGTACCGCCGTTCTAGGCTACTTACGTGGTGGTGAAGAACTCCCTTACAGTTTTACAGCTATTTTCATATCGATAGACCAGAATCCAGAAAACTCACTTAGCCGCTTTTATTTATTATTGGAGCGACACCAAACAAAGGCGCTCATGCTAGCTACTTTTGTAACTCGCGTAAGTCGTCACCATTACTTGGAGAGTGCTAGTACAACGACTGCCGACCGTCATCATCATGCACGGAAACATCGACATATATATCATTTTCAACGGAGATGAAGAGACGATCTTGCTCAAGTACCAGAGAAACCAAGTGGAGCGTCATCTGATGACGAGCACGGCTTACCTTTGACAACATTGTAGTGTCTTGCACGACGAGGGGCTTCGTTGCTTGACCATGGTAGTTACCTATGTACTAGTAGCATAGTACCAGTCATCACCATGTGCAGCTGGTTGCAGATGTACGTGCGCGTCGTGATTCTAGGGTCTCGTCAGTGCATAGTTGTACCGCCCCACACAAGCCCCATTGCAAGTAAGGTCAGCGACTTACCGTAAAAAGTAACTGGTCTAAGCGCCTCTGTTTGGTCACTTTGGTGTCGCTCCAATAATAAATAAAAGCGGCTAAGTGAGTTTTCTGGATTCTGGTCTATCGATATGAAAATAGCTGTAATGCCGTACCAGTATTGTAGCCGAACATATAGCATGTGGGGCCTGGGCGAACCCATAAGTACTTATATGATAATAACCTCCGCCGGTGCCAGTGCGGTATGACTATCTAAGTACTAGTCAATGTTAGTGGCACTATTCGGTTTGGTCAGAGACTAACGCTCATGAGCCGTATAGTAGTACTAACTTCTTTTCATGGCAGAAGGCAGCCGAACCTTCTTCCCTGCGGCTTGCCTCACACACCGGCAGTTTGAGAGTTTCTCACTATGCAAGATTTGTTTCGAAATGTTAGTGATAAAGTTGGCATTCTTACGTATATACATTTTGACACAGTGAAAATAAAAAAATTGGACGAGTGGCTAAATCCTGGGTGAAATTCTACATTTTATGAACTATTTTGACACTGTAAAAGAAAGCCGTTCAACCAGCAGCAAGATCTGAAGAAAAATGTTCGAACTTTTTTGTTCAAATCTCACATGGGGTGAGATGTCAGCAAAATTTGAAATGAAACACATTTTGCTGGAGTTTTACCCCAGGTGAGATTTGAATCAAAATGTTCGAACGGGGGTAGGCCCGCACGTGAAAGCTCAAACGTATCGACCAATTAGACTTGTGTAAAGGAAAATTAAACTCGATAGATCTTGCTGTCAGTTAAATGTCTTTCTTTTACGGTATCAAAATGGTTCATAAAATGTAGAATTTCGCCCAAGGTTTGGCTACTCATCCATTTTTTAAAATTTTACTGTGTCAAAATGTATAGTAAAAATGCCAACTTTATCACCAACATTTCGAAACAAATCTTGCATAGCCCAAACTGCCGGTGTGTCAGTGTTTCTCCTTCATCAAGCACAATGGCGACCGACTCCACGGAGCTAATGTGGGGGCCAGGATTCATTGGTCAGTCTTCTGAAGATCTGACGGCTGGTCTTCGATTCCTCCTAGCTGACTCTAGGCTTTGAAGGATTTATCATAACTACAGCGTATGGACTCGTGCCATTCAGTCTCTACTACTGTGGGTTGACCTGCATAATTTCAAAGGCTCTACGGGACAGCTTTCGGACAGTATCTCTTCTACGTGCGATGGTTTCCGCAAGATTCGAGAGAACTCAAATTATTTGTGAGTCCAATTTGTGTGCATCAACGAAAGCATCGTCAATCTACACCTCTGATATAGATAACAATGGCCTTGTGGGCGCTTTTCATGATGCCCGATCATGATTATACACTGATACTAAGACGATGTCTCGCAGTTGTTTGGACACAATACAGGAATACTCGTTGATAGGGATGTACTGGTCTATCTTTATTTCGTGCCGTCGTAGCATGTCCCTCGAGTGCACCACTCAACTTCCGTGGTAAGTCGATAGAAATGTTCCTGATAAATTGACTCATAAAGAGGATAGGCAGGTATTGGCAAGTTCATTTTTATTGATGTAGCGTACTGCATATTGAACGTTGCCTACGAAGCTCGCTGTACTTACGGGAGTAAGTCTCCCGTATCTGGCTGTTATTAACATTAATTGACAAATTGTAAGTATTGGATCATTTTCGCCGTTCAGTGGTACGTGGTTCCTGTTGCTGGCTTCCTGCAGGACGACGCCAAATTTACTTCGGCTGTCGAAAGTTTTTATGCATCCAGGGTGTGGATCAGTGAGTACTCTAGGATCTACAAGAGTAAAGTTTCAAGGAGCTCCTTTAGTCACGGCACAAAATCGCTTGATCACAGGCACTGTTGTGAGATGCCGTTTTCATCATTCTTGTTGCGGAGAGTTCCAACACAAACTTTCAGTGCGCACTCGCAACTGCATCATTCGGTCAGCTCTTTCGATCTCAGTCACATAACCTCTGATTTTTGAACGCTGCAGTGTGTGGCATGAGTTGCGTCAATCCTTCATGTCCCCTCTCAATGTTCTAATATATTGCCGTATCCGTCTCTAGTCATAAGTGGTTTAATGTAAGGCGATCTCGTTCATTGAGCTCATGACTTCTCACATACTTTCAAAGAATTGTCACGCGAAACCCTGAAGTTCTATTCCATACGAAGGTCCAGTCAGCCTTGACATAATTCTGATGAGCAAGGAATTCATACTCGGATTTAGTGGATACAATTAGCGTCCTGCGCTAGTGCATTATGTGATGCTGTCATTACAGGGTCAATTTGGTGGTTTTTGCGACCGGCGCGAACAGGCTACATTCGGTATGTGCCTCTCTGCTATGCTTATGGTCTGACTCATACAGCTACGCATGTCAAGTTCGAGGGGTTATCTCAATGAATTGACGCTGGTTTTTATTCAAATGGGATTGTTTTCCTTGTATGTGTAACTTTGCATTCCTATTGAACACTTTATTTCACATGATTTATCCCCCAGCCTTTTGGCAACTTCCATGGCTATGATCGTAAGTCTTCTCATCCACATCCATGCAAATCACCGGAAAAAATAACAATCAGAACTATTGCAGTATCAGTTCCAGGAGGGTCTTGGTAGTCAATTCTATACCGCTGCACCTGGAGCAGTGATAGGAAACTGTCAGCGATACTATATGTTCCTTATGCACTACGCAAATACTAACCCTCTCGTTCATAGCCTATACTATCTCGATGTTATCAGTGTGAGTCAATCAGTCCTCCATACGAAGCTCGCTAAACTGCTAGTTAGGCTCAATGCCAGGAAGTCCGTTCGCGACCGGGAACGACTTGCTCGCGACCTAATAGAGCTTCCTGCGCTACCCACAATACTTTGATTTTTTTTAGTTCTGCTAGTACCAGATGTATGTTCTTTGGCCAGCGTATGGGCCGTCCCATCTATCCCACCCCTTCCAGTTTTAATCGTTAATCGTAATTGATGCTCTTTACATAGAATCCATGGACTACATTCTCCAGATAAGTAACAAAACTTCATCTCACAGGACTCGGGCACGTGGCAAGGTACAGAGAATCTGTTGGGTAGTATCCGATTCGCCGACTTGAGGTCTTGAAGTGGAGTTCTGAGCTGAGAGGCCCGTGATCACTATTGGCGACTTATGATAGTGTAAGAACACGAAACAATACTTACCTCCTACTTACAGCTGCTTCCATATCCTACGCGCAAAGTCGTTGTGTTCCACTGACGAGAGCATATATCGGACCTCGCGCGACGCGAGGACAAACTCATATATGTCCATCATGGCCGGCGTGAGCTTGCTGAGGACGGGGACGCAAACGCTATGCCTAGTATGGTTTCGGACCCGCACCAGTGCCGCAGCGCGTCAGCCGCCCAAGGTCTAGGTCTCACATTATTGATTCATCCGTTGATCGCACTGTCGGCCGGACTTTCACCTCCCGGAATTAACGATTCCCAGATGCACTCCGTTTCGTCGGATGGTGGTCTTAGCCAAGTGGTACTACCGCGACGGAATCAAAATCTGTTTCATTTTGACTGCGCAGGTTCGAAACCTGCTGAGCTATTTTTCTATCGGAATACACCTTGATATTGACTTATGGATGGATTCCTCAGGGGTCCATCTAACTGGTCTTAGCCAAGTGGCTACCACGACAGAGTCAAAATCTGTTGCTCTTGGAGTTGGTTCGAAACCTACTGACAACATTTTTGCGGTGTATAGATCCTCTGAGGTCCTTGTTAACTAGCGCCGGCGCCGAAACCTCTTTTTATGTGATAGTCTGTCCATGAAAAGGGATTCACCTTCACGTCCTGTGATGGCTTCAGCTTTTCCTCGGAGAGTTTTCTAGTTATCATCCTTAACTTATGGGCGTTCGAGAAGATGGACGCGATACCAAGAACTTAAACACCATTCATATGCCGTAGCTGTTGGTTCCATCACACTAATTATTCACTGTAAGTTATTCTCATCCATCGCTATCGATTTCTTAATCTCATCTGACCAAGTGAAACCAACCTTCACAAGTTGATTGTGTTACGACCACTGTTAAGCATGCACTGCCTAAGCTTTCCGGTTTACTAAAATGACGCAAACTTGGTGGTGGCCCATTATCGGACAAACATCTCAAAGGAAAGGAAAATCACGGTGCTCAAGTTTTGACTACTAGTAAATCCAACCCTCTCATTAAGTTTGTAAGGGTGGGTATGAGTTCAGCAGGGAATTGTGAACAAAACAATGCAGAAATGAGACGAGTGCAAAGGAATTCGAGAAGAGTAGGAAGACGTTAGGACGGAGACTTTCTAGGAGGCTTTTCGGTCGTACTTGGAGCGGGGATCTAACTATTGGATTCGCTGTAGGTATGAGTGTACATGGGCAGTATATATACTAGCACGTTTTCGAATACTTAACTAGGCCGGAACGAGCATAAGGAGCATATGGTGAGGTGAAAATACTCGGTGAAGCAAGGAGATCGTGAAGTCTGAGCACAAGGTGAGATAACGAAAGAGAATGAAAAGAAGATGTAAGGGAATGTATCCACGTGCATGTAACTCGGATGCGAAGAGTTGCGCTCTTCGCATCAATGAGTCACGTGGACGACTTCGACCGCATGGTTCGAACTTCTAGTGTCTTTGTTTTGAAGCATGGTCGGTGCATAAAGAACATGCGATCCGTAGATTCCGTACAAGTTGTACTTTCTGAAAGTCATATCATTCGTCAGAACCTGTCTATTGAAATGCGCTCGTTCTCATCACACATGTGTCTGACAGTGAATTTTCCGCAGCTTTTCTCGATTGTTGCCCTGGCTTACTACTTTTCAAAGGATACCGCTGATGATGTATACCTTGGATGCACTCTCCAAATGATAGTACATGATGAATTGGTACTTGTGGGACATGCTGCGGCCTGTCAAATATTCAAGCGCCGCGCGTTCTCCGCGACTCAAAAAGTCCAACGGCACGGCTTGCGTTCGACTCGCGTCCTACATAGTCCTCTTGAACTTGTGTGAGGAGCAACGTCTTGAATCTTCTATTCGACTGACTGGGGTATGTTCCGTCGACGACAACGTTCAATGTGGACAGGTCCAGTCATTCGAATAGTACATAATACCGCGCATACATCTATATATATATATCGCAGGGGGAGCGACGTCGTCTTTGAATTGGTTCTACTGGGTTGACTAGGAAACTTCACATGCACTGGGAATGTGGATGGCCCGAGTCATTCGAATAGTACATAACGCTGCGCATGTATCTAGGGAGCGACTCAGACGTCGTCTTTGAATTAGTTCTACTCGATCGACTGAGCGAGTTAACATTCGTATTGAGGCCTAGTCATTCGAATAGTAATATTCATATGGTGCTTTTTAACTTTTGCTCGCGTTCCAGATTCAAATACAACGTAGAGTTCAAGTCGAGCCATACATCCAGACCTATTAGTAGAAGCCCCGTCCGTCCATAACAAGCGACTGAGGGCGACTGTCAGATGTGAGTATGAGGTGGTGTCATATATGTCGACGGCTGACTGCTAGACAACTCTAGAGCTTTGAATAACGGCAGGTGCATCAAACAACCGTTACAACTCTCACCCACCTCAAAGTTTTTTTCCCGAGAAATCCGACTGGTAAGTTGTCAAGCGCAAGTCCGAACTCCAGCAGAAGACGACACGGGAATCACACGATCAATCAGCGCGTTCCTTTGATATCAATATCGGACGGCTTCGTGTGTACCGTTTTACCGGTTCATGGAAAATTTAGTCAGTCAAGGTACAAGATGGAGAGGTCCAAATTCCAAGGTCCAAGGCCCCAAGGCTTGAAATCGAGCGCTGAGCGGTGATAACTTATCTATCAAGAGTGCCGAGGTTAAGATCGCGCTCGCCCCGCAGCCTCGAGTTCGCTTGCTAAGCGCATTCATCTGCATCAATATTCAACCGCGCATACTGTGGTCTTGAAGGTTTGTACTTTCGTGATCACATGATTAGATCCTTGAAAGACAGTCTGTTGAATGTCTTCTGCGGGTTATCATGCATCAATTTTTCCTCGCGATCAATCAGACGGTATCGCAAGATCTAGAGCGCCCAGAAAACAGTCATGTGCCAAAGAAGGCTTCCTTTGACAATAGAGTATTACTGAATCCAAGCGAAGAAGCAATGGGTATGTCTGATGCTGATGCGCTAATCTCATTTCTGCGGAAATGAAAACGTCTATCGCCTCGAAGTATCTGATTATGAAAAGACCTAGAGCACGATGGTGGAAGAGCGACTCACGGACTACCGGATGATTATTGTACTTTTGTGAGATAAGGGATGGTGTTGTCATGGTGGACCTATAGTGAATTTGAATTACGGGGTGAGTTTAGCCATGTCCGGTCACTCATGAAGATGACAGGGTTGATTCGGACATGCAGCTTTGTGAGAATTGCCAAGGATTTGCATGATGTCATCGTCAGGTGTGTCTAAAATAGTCACGATATTGATAACAACACGGAATATTGCTTACGATATCGTCAGAATTGGTTCCGGATGTTGGTGATAGTTAAGGCTGGAGGTACTGATGAGTCAGACGCGGATCCGGACCTGATTGAAGGTACCGACACAGGTGAAGCGAGACGTGAGAGACTGCCATTTGTTTTCAGGTGGAGTGGATGAGCCAATAGGCAAGTGGTTGAGGCGGGGGGCGATGATGAACTTTAATGGGGACCTGGAAGCTTATTGGGAGAATGGAACGTGATCAGATAGCATATGGTTGTTGTGCGGAAAGTTCAATGGTTCCGCGGAAAGAAAAAGGAGTTGCTAAGAGACGGATGAAAGACAATAGTGATTCAACGACGTCGACAAAGTGAGCCCTCTAAAGAAATATTTGTTGTTGACGGTGTTGTCGAAAATGATTCAAACTTGTGCATAAAGGACGTGAACACTGTGATCCACGTTGAGCTCGATGGATGAAATGAGTTGATTGAGCGGTTGATAGACTAATCTAAATTTGTATCGTGAGAAATTGGTTGTGAAATTGGTTTTGAGTGAGCAGCGCTTAAGCTTCAGCTAAATTGAAGACGACGATGACCAGGACGACGGTTACAGCGACGACGACGGTAATGGCCACATCAACTGAACACCGTATGATAAGCAAACATACTCCAGTTCCATTCCTACTCGAAGCTTTTCCTGTACCACCCTCACATATTCCAGTCTCTCCAGTCTCTCCGGTCTCTACTAATCCACCACCTTCGCTACCACCGACTGCACCACTACCACCACTGCCAGGTCCCATCCGATATCGTTCGCAGAAACTCTTCAATACGCTCTATATCTTCTTCTACTTCAGATCCGAGCTCTCCTATAAGAACTAGAACTAGAAACGGAAGCCTCTCAAGTTTACGTTCATTCCATAGCGCAACAAGAAAACCTTCCTATGATCTGACCCATACAATATCAGAAGAAGGTCCTTACAACATTCCAGATGCACTCAAACCTGCGTTTATCATCCCCTCGCCACCCGACAGACCTGGCTCAATAAGCCCAGACGTTCCAGCTATCATACAAGCAACTCCACGTCCACGCTCGCGCCCTCGTTCGCGTCCCAACAAGTCACGTTCGAGGGCAAACAGTCTTAATGGGTATAGATCCTCAGGGTCGTCAAAACACTTGCCCAATCCTCACGAGTTCGAAGTTGAAGTAGAAGACCAGGATGCCCCCGACTCCGATTCGAGCATCGATCTCCATACCCCTTTGCCGTGAGTTTCAGTTCCATTTTTCCCTTTCTTCGCTTCCGTCTCGTCCGGATCTCTCGTAATCCCGCTCACCCTCTCTTGTCAGCCATCTCATGCTTCGACACGGTCTCCTCTCTCCCCACTCCAAACTCCTCCCATCATCACCTCCAGCCCCAAATCGTCTCTCCATCGCCTCAAATTTATCACAAGCGTCCCTAAAGTCCAATTTCTCAAACCAATCAGACGCGTCATTGCTCACCAATAGTTCCACCGGAAGCAAGCATCCAAAGGATTCAAGGGACACTCCTGGTAGACGCGTGAGGCATCGTGATGGAAGGTTGTTGAGAGGAGGCATTGGTCTCACAACTGGTTTGGGATGGAGTGATAGGTGAGCATTTAAGTCGTTTTAGACTGGCGGTCTCAGTTGGACTTGCCTTTACCCTCGCGCTTTTATCCCCTGCATGTTCGCTTCTCTGTCTTATGTCGCTTCCATTGCGCTAAGAACGGCGGTTTACGCGGAGACACCGCCCCGTCGAAGATCAAGGGCATCAACATCGCCGCTAGGCCACGCGCCGAGTTCTCGTTCTTCTCTCCTTCTCTTCGCATCCAAATCCAAATACTAATACTCCAAACAGTGAAGACGAAGACGCCCCCTCCCCACTTACACGCCGTCTCTCAGCGCTCAACCTCTCCCGACGCTCATCCGCCACGTCCATATCCACATCCCAATCTTATTCCTCCCTCCGCTCGCCACACCCTCTCTCACGCAGCATCTCCCATTCTATCCTTCGCGAAGAAGAAAACGAAGAAGAAGTGGATGAGTTCGGGCGCGTCGTCCGAGGAGCCAACTCTGCACGCACAGATGACGGGCGCGTCATCCTCGACGGACAATTCTCCAAAAGCCTCCCACCTAGAACCAAGCCTCTCACCTGTCGTCCCAAATCCCGCCCTCACAAACCCAAAGGCGAAACCCGAGTCCCAGTCCCAATCCCACTTGAAAACGAGATGGATGGTGTGACTCCCACCCGCGCAGACTTTCGCAATAGCGCAGGGTCGAGTTCTAGTGGACTCGGGACGGGTGCGGGTGGTGGGACTGGTAATGGCTCGAGCACCACTTCTACTTCCTCGCTGTCCCTTCCATTCCCTGCGACACCCCAGAGCCCCGTAGCGTTCTCGGAGACGAGTCCTAACCCCTTGTCGGGCATGACACATTCGCACAAGCACTCGCTGTCTCAGTCATCGACGTTGTCATCATGCAACATCGATAAATCGCTTCCTCCGCTCCCTTTGACACCGAAGAAATGTCCGCCTTCGCTTTCGAGGTTGAGGACGTATTCGAACACGTCGAGTGTTGGGTCTGTGGAATTGAGCGGTGGGGGGCTTAGGATTATTGGTGAGGCTGGGACGGGGACGCCACGCCCTTCGTTGGGCAGTATGCCGAGATCTTCGTTGGGCGGTGTGCCGAGACCTTCGTTGGGTGGTATGCCGAGATCTTCATTGGGCGGCGTTCCGAGACCTTCATTGGGTGGTGTTCCGAGATCTTCATTAGGAGGCGTCCCACGACCGTCCTTGGGCGGTGTACCCCGACCGTCGCTGAGCTCCCCCCGACCTTCGATAAGCCCCCACCCATCTGCATTTAACACTTCGTTGTCGACGCCTAATCCGTCTTTGTCCATTCTCGCAGGGCAGAGCGGCGACGGCAGGGGTGTATCCTCTGTGGCATTCGTGAGCGCGAGTACGGGAGATAGCAGCTTCTCGAACCCAGGAGACAGCGTCTTCACGAACCCTAGAGATATCAGCAGCATCACTATCCCAAGTGCCTCGAGCCCTCGAGAAAGTGGCTCCCAAAGCCCCCTCCCGCGCACCCTCAAACTCCTCCAACCAGGTGAACAGCCCCAACGGCCAGGGGCAGTACTGACATACAACCGGAACGTGCATGATCAGCTTAAACGCGCGCAGTCTCAGCCGCAGCCGCAGCCGCAGTCTCCCTTGACGCAATCGCACACGCCGATTCTGCCTTTGTCACCTGTGATGCGGACGCTTGTGAAGCCTAATTCTTCGGGGAGTGTCGTGAGTATAGGGAGTATGAGTATGAGCATGGGGATAGATAGGCCAAAGTCACGGACAGGAACGGGTATGGTGTATCGCTCGTCCTTGGGTCCTACAGGAAGCAGGATGAGGGTGCCGAGTACTGTTAGGCCTAGTGGGATTGGTGTTGCGTTGTGAGTGGTGAGTGCCGTTGTTCCTTTTCCTTTTGTGAGGTCGGAGTGTTAACCTTGGTTTCAGTTTCAGATGGGTGCGATGGTGATTGGTGGCGATGTGCTGCGAGGCGAGGTGATGGGTAACCATCAGCATCAGGATTGGTTCTGGTGGTGCACTGGAGGCCGTGTGCATCTGATTGTGATCATAGGAGGTTGTTGGAGGGTTCTGGTGCCTGAGACTCTCTCAGAGGCTCTGGGGAACATTTTGCTATCCCGCGGGCATTGCAGCTTCTGACGCACGTTCACCTCGAGGTGACACCCCCCTCGACGAATCGACTACTCGACGAACCGACCACATCCTCCTCAACGAACCACCTCCACGCGAAGCATCAACAACGTCAACGTACACATTTCAATTACTGCAGATTCATATTTCGGACGGTTGGGACCTAGACCTTTCAAATATTTTCTTTTTCGTGGGACCTGACGCTTTATTTCTACTCTAATATCTTCCTCTTCTTATCATGTCATGGACGTGGACAGAATCTCTTTATCACGGGCCTGCCAGGAACGCATTTTGAATTGGATTTTAGATTTATCGCGCTTTTATCTTATGCTGCAGGACTGTGCCTTTTTCCATCTCGTCTCATCCCACCCTGCGTGCCCGTGCCCCGAGTCCACACACTTTACCTGGGCGTTTCCCATCCCATCCCACATCTGTCATGGCACATCCCTACCGCCGCCGCCCACCACCACCACGCGCTCCCCCCTTCCTTCATTCTGCCAAAAGATAGATAGCTCTGTCACATCTTAATTGTCCTCATTCTTGTTCTCTTGTTTTATATTTAGGATGGATGGAAAGGTTTCATATAATGTATTGTGTATATACATGGATTTTTTTTTTCGTTGTGTATACTTGCCAATTAGGATGGTTTCGTGGAATTTGAGTTGTACGTTTTGGAGTGAGGTGAGACCAGTACTGTCATCGTGACCTTTTGAACAGCCAGATACAACTTGGGCGTGCCTGTTCGTTCCTTGTGAAAGTTATTCGTTCGGACCTTTCGCTGCTGAGGAAGACCAAGTACGGTCTATTACCGTGAAAGCGGAAGAACCTCCTTTTGAATAATGCTGTGCCGCTGGCAGGATCTTCAAACACTCTAACAGGAGACTGAATCTCAGTACGACTGTTGTTGGATCGTCGATTCCGCCTACCGTTGGCACCTACCCCTATGAACAACCAGCAAGCAAAGATGTACAACTTGAGGCGTGCCTCTTCGTTCCTTGTGAAAGTCATCTGTCCAGAGACCTTCCTGCTGAAGAAGATCACGCACGGTCTGTACAAGTGAAAGCGGACGAATTTGGCTTTGAATAGTGCGTCACTGCTGCCACGATATTCAAACAGGATACGACTATTGTTGGATCGTCGATTCCTCCTACCGTTGTCACCTACCCCTATGAATAACCAACAAGCAAAGATGTGGTACAACTTGATGCGTGCCTTTTTCGTTCCCTGTGAAAGTCATCCGTCCAGAGACCTTGCTGCTGAAGAAGATCACGCACGGTCTGTAACCGTGAAAACGGAAGAACCTCCCTTTGAAAAGTGCGTCACTGCTGCCACGATATTCAAACAGGATTTAGATCGTCGATTCCACCTACCGTTGTCACCTACCCCTATGAACGACCAACAAGCAAAGATGTAGTACAACTTGATGCGTGCCTTCTTCGTTCCCTGTGAAAGTCATCCGTCCAGAGACCTTGCTGCTGAAGAAGATCAAGCACGGTCTGTAACCGTGAAAGCGGAAGAACCTACCTTTGAATAGTGTGTGCTGCCACGATCTTCAAACTCAGTACGACTATTATTGGATCGTCGACTCACCCTGGAACGAAGCAGGCCGCCTACCGCTGTCACCCACCCCTATCTCAATCTCGTTCTCGTCTCATTCATCCTCGAAAGGTAAGGTTAGATGGTTGCGTGCGGTTTTAAACATGTTGTATGCTATATATATACACACATGCATATACTGAATGTTTTTCTCGTTGCAATAGGCTGGGATACATAACCTCGGATGTACATATTAGAGTTAGGACCATCATTGCACCAAGTTAGGGGTCTGACTCAACGGGTTGATTGACGACGGGTGTTGTGCATGCCACTCTCGAGCTTCCAGCAGATATAAATACGCGCCTGGGATCCCGTTTGATGTATAGGGGAAGACGGGGGTGGTGCACGTTCTCTTACCAAAGTGCTTAGCTGCAGGTGACAGGTAGCGAGATAGCGGGAAAGCTTTCCACCGAAGAACCCGTGCCGCTCTAGATGCCATCTTCAAAATATAGGAATAGGGACGAATCTCATAGCAGCGACCTTACTAGATGAAAGGGGTTGTATGGTGACGTACAATTTGACGATCCGGTGATCTAATGAATTGGTGGGGCCGCCTTGTATTAGTGGATGCTATGACATGTCGTAGGATGATTCAAGTGAGGAGATCTGAGGTGAGGCAGGGGGACTCGGCGTCCGGGCTTACTAAGCAACTAGTGCCGACGTTGCCGCTATTCTCTTCCTTGCCGCCCTCAGTAGTAGCGGTCGTCACAAAATTTCCTTGCTGACGAACTTGATCCCGGGCCCCGGAAGTAGCAGTCGCCCCAAAATCACTGCTAGGCATGTTGTGATTCCTTTCCTCCAAAGCTAACTCATAACGTGTCGGCTATTATCCGACACGATCATTGATTTTGTCCGGACACAAGGGTAACCCGCAGAATCCACAGGAGACGATCTGGTTAGTGACAGGCAGGTCAAAAACACCAACGGGCGGTACGACACGGAGGAGGTTGTATCGCTCACTCTTGAATTTCGCTGAGAGGCAGGATGCGATCTGAAGATAAGATTTCCCCGGTGCCTTTAACATTAAATATTGGCTTCTCGTTGTACGGATTGCGAGACATAGGGAGGCATGACTATCAGGACGAGACAGTGAGGCCAGCACAACACGGGAACTAAATGGTGAGAAATCGGCACGCGGCAGTCAGAATGACGCTGTGAGGTAGCAGGATATGGGTCTAGGCAAGGTCATTGTGAAGCGAGCGGGAAACATGGGAGTGCGATAAACTATGGTCGGTTCGTTGTGTATTCAAGATAGTGACTGACGGAATGCGACTTGAAGGACAGGAATGCGCTCCAATTGCTCAGCCTATACTGTCATAAGTTGTGGCGTGAAACGCATGCAAAAGTACATTCGGACCTGAATTGACCGCAAAATCCATTGCATGTTGGTAGGTGCGCATTGGGTCCTGCTGAGAAACATCGAATTGTAAGTGATGGCTTCAGACTGCCATTGATGAAAAGCCTTGTTAACGCTGCGCTTAGTAGCCGAAAATGTTGAGTATGTCTCCATTCATCGCACCGTCACGCTATGACTGATTGTTCTGAACCGCTCCTGTTGAACGATATGACGCGGTGTGACACTTGCTCGTTCATTCATGCTTATTAGTCCGAAGGCAGAGGGTCATTTCGTCCAGAAATCAATTTGAAAAAGATCGCGCTGGGTCACCAGCGAGGTCACCACGCAGGCGTAGTACCCGCGTATACCCTATGTATCGTGCTCGAAGCTACTTCAAATTCAAGGTATGTTTAATGCCATGTAACATACTATGCTGCGTCACGACCGCGTTATTTTACCTGGCCCAATCCACAGACCACACAAGTATATCCAAAAGGAACCTGGCTTCCTTCGTCTGCCTACTGGTAAGGGAGACCAGTGGGGTAGACGATCCGACATGGACACGAAATTTCGTTTGCGGATACGTGCGCCGCTGGCGGTTGTACAGTTGCTGACCTTGGTCATCAAAATAAGAACTTGATTGAACGGTACCCCGAGCCATATATTGGCAACAATGGTCGCAAGCAGGCGTACTGGGTTGAATTTAAACGTCCCGATCATCAAAATGGTCACTGTGTACGAGCCAAAATGGGCATGCGTGCCGCCTGCAAATCATCAATTGATCTTCCATTTGCGAACGATATATATGGCCAACGTCTTTCTCAACGTGCTTCGGCCTATTTCAATTTGCTGTTCTGTTTGCTGTGCTATTCTTGTGAGTATATCTCACTATCTTGATCATACTATAGTCGTGTCTCACGGCTCAACTATTCCTCAGGCCTTGGTACAAGCACTATAATTCATCTGAGGACTGCCGCATTTGATACATAAGTCCGTTCTTCTGGCGTCCGATCACACTTCGTCACCAGAAAACTATACTTTATCCAGAGCTTCAGAGTCACGTATCCTGTTGTCGATATTCCAATTCAATTGTTCGATTTGGAGTTCGCTTACTTTCCTCGTTGGTCGGCTTGCAAGATACTGCCTTATTTTTTGGTGAGTCCTGCACACCTTAAGAACGATTGCCGCACGTTTTAACCTCGTCCTAGCACCACGCCGGGGCTGTTGCTGGCATCTTCATTATCTTGATATTACCCTAGAGCGGTGTCATTTCGCTGTATATGCGCTTGTTATCAACGAGTTCCCTACACTGACACTTGACAGTGAGTTTATTCCACTTTTATCCCCCAGGGTCAGTCCTGACTGTGAATGTTTCGCGTGAAAATCAGGTTTGTATACCGGGCGACTTCGGTGACATCGATGTTGACGTTTGGCATTTGGTAACGTCATATTTGCGATAAAGGATAGGTGGCAGTCATTTTATGATTCTGTGTATCTATGAATTCATGACGCCCACCCTCAGAACTTTGGTGCTACTTGTGCCCCACTTGGGTTCCTGGCGGTGCTCTTATCTGTATCTTAATGCAACAGTTCATCTGCGCTGGCATCCTGTTAAAACTCTTGTACTGCCGCTCTGAAGCAGCTGCATACTCGACTTTCGATAGTCTGAATGCTATACTCGCAGACATCTTTACGTGAAATCTCTGATCAAGCGATGTATGTCATGGGCTGTCTTGCCTGGGAAGTTCACTGCGTTTATGACATCTGGTGGTTGCCGATGCCGTTCACTCTTTCTTATCTTCAGCAAACCTGAGTTGGTGTCGATGTGGTAACTGGAACAATATCTCACCTTCCCGAGGCGAATGGCAGTAAAGGCTCTTCTCACTGAGAAGGAATCATAGTGCCTACAATCTCCACCCATGATCTAGACCCACCCAGCCTTCTTCAAAGGTGTGGGCAGGGCCTCTCCTAGAGAACACCGTGTTTCCCGCCACTGATACGCTGTGCTACATTACATCAATCTTTATCAGAGTTATCCCAGGTCTTTGGTACCCGCAAGAACTCCTGAAGGAGTAACATTAACGTACTACACTGGGCAGAGAAGGAACATGTGTACTTATGGGGGACCACACCAGATTCGACAATTCTCGATGGGCCAGAATACACCGAGGTTCATATTAGAGGGTTGACCACTGTAAGTCAAACATGGAAAAAATTGTTACTTCATTGCTAGATGCCAAAATCTTCGCACCGTAAACGCAATACAAATATTGCCGCAGGTGCTCCGCCACGAAGGAGCACGAAGACCGAATCTCTAGATGATAACTGGCGATGATCGGTCACCGTCGCAAGAGGCGCATCCTGCACAGTCTAACACATCCCGCGACAGCGACAGCTGGCGATGGCTACGGCTTCATCGCAGCTGAATTATGCATTTCATGGCCAGCTGGGTACGATAGCTTCTACGATCCCACAGTTGTAGATATATTTCCATATGAGAACACCAGTTACCGAGCGCCAACCTGCTTTCCGAGATATCGACAACGAACTTATCAGTCACTCTTGCAGGCTGGCAATCACAGCTTCAAGTACTGTCCTACACAGAGTATCACTCTCAATGGACAAAAAACTAGATTTAAAATAAATAAAAAATGGCACAACTAGAGCACTGACTCACAATTCAGGGTATACTATCCACTCGTCAACTCGATACTTTGACAATCACTATCAAATATAACGATCGGGTTCGGGAAAGAGCATACGTCGCCACTTCCACGTTTGCCACGGCATCTCATGCGACAGCATCGAACAACTCGAGGGTGACTCGAAGGAAGGACGGCGTATTTATGGTTGCTGCACTTAGGATGGTCCACGGTCCATGATGGAGCCCTTCTGGAATTCCCGTCGGACTATCTTGCCGAGTGAAGTGGTCTGATGCAGTCTGATGCCACTTGCTTGAAGCTTGCGGGCACTGTCATCAAAATTACGTGTGCATACGAAGGTAGCTAATTAGCTAAATATAGCTGTCAGGTGGTGGCGGTACAGGACCCAGGTTATTTCCGGCGTTTAATATTTGGGAAATTATTACAGACACAAGAGTCACCATGCTGGTCAGTAACATGCTTGTCAGTAATAGTACTAACGTTGCGTTCGAATTCGTTCAGCTTGATGCGTTATGGCCAAGGTATTAGTATTATTCACCTTATACTAGTAGCACCATGTATAAAAACCATCCGTTCCTCGCTACTGGTAGCCACTCCCGCCTGACTCCTTAGGATGCCTATTCCCGGCGACTCTGATGACTCCAGCCCCACCTTACAACCCCATTCCAACGATACAAGTGCAACATCGCATGATAATCATCGCAATTCTGTTTTAGCCATAGTCGGGGATGAAGATTTCAACTTCGAAAAACATCTCAAGGACATCATCAAGCGGTGAGTTAGGACCATTTCATGAACGTCTGGCTATGACCGACAATTAATTGTAGACGTGATGAGGAAGAAATCAAATGGCGTGAGCTCGGTGTCGTGTTCAATGACCTCCGTGTGGTAGGCATTGGTGCGAGAACATCATTGCAACCGACCATGGGGTCATTATTTAGCCCTACCTCGCTCTTGCGCACAATTAGTGAAGCTCGTCATCCACCTGTGCGGGATATATTGTCGGGCTTCGAAGGCGTCGTTGCACCTGGCGAAATGTTACGTGAGCATTTCCGAAGCATGTACCCCATGAAACCTTATTCTTTCAGTCGTTCTTGGCAAACCTGGGTCAGGATGCAGCACCTTCCTCAAGACCCTCGCCAATCAGCGTGGGGAGTACCATGCTGTTGAAGGAGAGGTAGAGTATGATTCATTTACCCCTCAAGATATCCATAACCATTACCGCGGAGACGTCACTTATTGCCCAGAGGACGACATTCACTTCCCTACCTTGACGGTCGAGGAGACATTATCTTTTTCCATCAAAACTCGTACACCTCAAACCCGTTTCGGCGATCAGTCAAGGAAGCAATTTAATGCCGAATTTTTGGACGTTCTCCTCAGAATTTTCGGCCTTCGACATGCTCGGAAAACCGTTGTCGGTGATGCCGCGATTCGCGGTGTTTCTGGTGGAGAGAAAAAGCGTGTTTCCATTGCAGAGGCACTTTCTTGCAGAAGTACGATTGGCGCATGGGACAAGTACGCTTCTAGTGTGGTATGCTCAGTTCTGGCGTTAACTCGGCACTTTTAGCTCCACTCGCGGTTTAGATGCCTCTACTGCGCTTGAGTTTGTTCAAGTTTTGCGTCTGGGTACTGACATCGCACGTCTAACAACTATTGCGTCCATTTACCAAGCTGGAGAGCAATTGTATGAGCTCTTCGACAAGGTATGTGTCATCACTGAAGGTCGAATGGCCTATTTTGGGCCGGCCAGAGCCGCCCGTCAATATTTCATCGATATGGGCTATGAGCCCTATAATAGGCAGACTACGGCAGATTTCCTCGTCGGTGGTGCGTTTTATTGCCTCTTTCATTTCTCGCTCGCGTCCCTGATCATCGATCATCAGTCACCGACCCAATTAGCCGGAAGATTAGGTCAGGGTTCAAAGGTACAGTGCCCAGAACGGCAGAGGAGATGGCCTCCCATTTTCGGGTGTCTCAGCTTGGCCGTCTCAATCGTCAGGCAATTGACGAGTATCGGGCACTTCATGTTGGCAAACCTGACCGGAAAGCTGCATACCGGCTGAGTGCAGTTACGGAGCATTCGCATCATGCACCCAAGAACAACTCGTATACCATATCTATCCCTATGCAAGTTAGGGCTGTGATGGTTCGCCGTATGCAAATTATTAAGGGCGACTTGTCCGCGCAGGTGGTACAGATGTGGTGCGTTTTGATATGATATTCATCATGTGATGTTCTGACTCCACTTTATCAATCAGTGTCCAAATCTTCCAAGCCATCATCATGGGCGCAATCTTTTTTCAGTTGCCTGATGCAACCTCGGGTTTTTTCTCTCGGGGAAGTGTTTTGTTCTTGTGAGTGTCTTGTTCGGCCATGCCAAGGGACGGTCTGACGCCATGTAGCTCTCTTATCTTTGGCGCAATATCTGCGATGGCAGAAATTCCCGCTCTGTTCGCCCAGCGCCCGATCTTATCACGCCACCATAAAGCAGCGATGTACTACCCCTTCATCGAGGCTTTTGCTCACACAGTGGTAGACATCCCCATCGCGTTCATGATTCAAGCTGTTTTCTGCGTCATTGTTTACTTCATGGTCGGCCTTCAAAAATCAGCATCCCAGTTCTTGTGAGTGCATGTCGCGTCTCTCTATCTGAAGCGCCATTGGCTGTTATCGGTCTACAGTATATTTTTCTTGATAGTCTTCACCATGACTATTACGATGAATGCGTTCTTCAGAATGCTCGCGGCCAGTTTTAAGGAGGAGTCCAGTGCAACGTCTATGGCTGGTATCTCCGTACAACTTCTTTGCCTGTACACCGGTTACACCATTCCTCGCCAAAGTATGCCAGGCGCCCTCAGATGGACAACATATCTTAATGTGAGCATGTGTTTCTCTCTGTTCATGATCTGAGCTGAACCGCTTGATGAAGCCTCTTCGTTACGGCTTCGAGGCCATCCTGACAAACGAGTTCCACACACTGAACGCCACTTGCACCACTCTTGTTCCCCAAGGTCCAGGATACGAGAATATTTCTTTGGCGAACCAGGTTTGCACGACTGTCGGATCACTGCCTGGTATGATTGCTGTAGACGGCAATAGGTTCGTGAACATATCATACGGCTACTCATATGGTGATCTCTGGAAAGTAAGTTGATCCTCTAATCACAATCGTTTTCGCTGAGATCTTATACTCTGCAGAATTACGGTATCATCCTTACCTTTGGGGTTGGCTTCTTCGTGTTCTTACTCATCGCTGCGGAGTACAACACGAATTCCGCGTTTGATACCGCGGTGACCCTCTTCAAGCAAGGAACACGTGCAGTGGAAGTCATTGCCACCACGGAAGATGAAGAAAAATCCAGCAAGCTATCCACCCGGCCACCATCTTTGGACAGTGGCGCGCCGCGGACCGCCGGCGCACCTGCACCCTATAGTCTACTCGAAAGGCCAGCAACCAATGATGCATTTACCTGGCGGCACATTCAATACGTCGTATCGGTATCAGGCGAAGAACGGCGCTTGCTCGACGATGTCTCTGGGTACGTTGCACCTGGAAAATTAACGGCTCTCATGGGTGAATCCGGCGCTGGAAAGGTTCGTCGCATATCTATCTTCAGGACTCTTCGTCCAACTTCTTATGACAGACGACATTGCTCAATGTTTTGGCTCAACGGGTCGATGTTGGAGTTGTTACGGGAGATCGGTTCGTCAACGGGCAGCGCGTTCCCGCAGACTTTCAGGCTCAGACGTGAGTAACCTTCCTACTAGTCAAGATCTTTCGTTGATATTCCTTGAAGCGGCTATTGTCAACAAATGGACACTCACTTGCCGCAAACGACTGTTCGCGAGGCTCTTCTGTTCTCTGCTCGCCTACGACAGCCTGAGTCCGTTCCATCTGCAGAACTTGAATCATAGTATGTTCATATTTATTCACCATACATGTACGACTGAGACTTGTGGATAGCGTGGACAAGTGCCTTATCATGTGCGGCCTTGAAAATTATGCTGACGCTATCGTTGGATCACTGGGTG